TTCACGTACGACAAACAAACACAGATCACCAATCTAGCACCTCGCCCTGAAAACTTATTAGCCGAAACTTTTTGCTAGACCAAGTAAGTCACAGCTTAGAGAACTGGATGGTTTCACAAAAATATTTACATTACCAGAAGACCAGAATTAAGGGTACAATTCTCACCTGGAATTTTTCATCAAACTGGTGATATATATATATATATATACATGTATTACTGGCAACAGTTCCACTAAAAATTGGTACTATAAATACTAAAACATCTACTTAACCCTTTAACTCCCAAGATCTGATTGGTAATTCTTCCTCCAGCTTGAACACATTTCTTTGTAATTAGTTATGAGAATTTGGTATTAGATCATCATAAGAGCTTCTATCTGATAAGTTTGAGCACTCTGATTACCCTTTTTACTTGATGATGTAAGGATATATAGGGAGAAGTTAAATGTTAATCAATTCTGGGAGTTAATGGTTAAAGAAATTGAATGATCAGAAAGCTCAAAAGAGTACCCCTGAAGAGTCATTAGAGAATCTGAAGGAAAAAAAAAAACCACAAATTCATATGCTATGTTTACGCAATGGTAACAAACTCCACCCCTAAAGCTATTGTTTCTTAAAAAGGTTTTGCTTTCCTCCTTACAAATGTATGACTGCCACAACACAACATTCTAAACTGTTTGTTTAAAACAAACAAAACAAAATCACCAAGGCAATGGTTTATCATAATCAATAACATTCATAAATCTTCTTAGTTAAGTGAAGTTCATGGTAAGTTTCCTTTCATGACTAACTTTACAGGACCTCAAAGTAAAATATTGATCACCCATGTTCTTGAAATGGAATTTTGTAATCAGCTTTTCAGGAATTTGTTAGAAGGAGAGCAAACCTAAAAGCATTTCTGTCAAGATTTCCACACTGCCCCATACTTCATTATGCATGCAGTTCTTGGGTAAGGACATAAAGGCAAAAAACAGTAGATTTCCCTTCAAACTACAGCTTTGTTTTGGAATGGTACAGGGCTGAAATCTTTCCACATTTCCTTTCAAACTTTGACTCGCTTTCTCATTTTTCTTAGATACTTATCCATCTCTTGTTTAGATTTTTTCTCCCACTCTTCCTTCTCTTCATCTTCTAGCCTCTCCCATCTCTTTCTGAGCTTTTTCTTTAACTTTTTATCCGATATGTCGGGATGCTCTTCTTTGATTTCTTTCTTCATCTTAGAAGACCAAAATTCAAATGCGGTCTTGGGAGCCTTTTCTTCTGGAAAGTTTTCAATGAAATACTGCATCAATGCGCTCTCGTATTTCTTTTTATTCTCCAAGTAATCGTCGTGATACTTTTTTTTCTTCTCTGCGCTGAGCTTCCTCCACTTCTTACCAATTTTGGCCAGCAATTGCTTATTGTTCAGATCTGAATATTTCTCGGCCATCTGCGGTCGTCTTTCCTTGCTGAATAGGAGATAGGCTGATAAGGGTGCTTTTGGGAGCGCATCATCTATTTTTCTTTTCCTAGATCCTGCATTGGCGTGTTTATCTACCGCCCTTTGCTTCGCATCCTCGAGAATCTCTTTAGCATTTCTCATTTTTCTGACCCGTAACGTCAAGATTCTCCAGCGTTTGTGAACCTCGTCTGTGGTGAAATTATCGAATGCAATATCACTCCATTTAATATCTTTAACGTAAATTTCTTTCCTTTCTTCACCATCTGCCAAGTATTCATCGACTTTTTCAAACAATTTGAGCTCCTTTTCATGCGTCCAGGTTGACGATTCTTCTTGAGATTCATCGCGCACGCTTTCACCATTCACGGCCGCCATTTTGGACGCCACGAGCGTGGCTGCTAATGTTAGGTTCTAGTCTCCCTCTCTGGGCAGTCATCTATCTGTCGGGTCAGCATTAGATTCCATCCACCAAAACCACCTCGGTCGAGAGGGACTGAGATGGAATATTTAATGACTTGCAAAACATAACCGAAGATTCTCGGAAATCCGCAAGTGATGTAGCCGAACATCAAAAGCTGTAAATCCCATGATTCTTGAGGAACAAACAGAAACAGCATAGCGAGAATTTTAAGTCGCGAACCATTGATGGTAGACATGCAGATAATAAACTTATTGCGGAATTTGAAACAGGGTTGACGACGAAGTTTTCTTTCTTTAAAGCTGTCAACGGTTTCGGGAACACATATATATATATTGATATAGCTCTTTAGTATTACAAAGCTTTGCTATCACTATTGTGCATTCTCACTAGTTTATCTAGTTCAAGTCCTCTGGCATGGCTTGGATGATACCATAATTGTGGAATCATCCGGGTTAATTTAATGCTTACACCTCCTTCCTCTGACAGAAGTCACAAAATACTGGGGAAAGATGCATGAGATATTTAAGGAGCAAAAGTTCGTTTTTTACTGGTGTGCCTTTCCTAATTTTGGGAAGGAAAGTGTTCAATTGCCAGCACGGCATAGATAGAACAGCTGGAGAGAAAAGGAAACGAAAAGATGCAGAAGAAGTACTGTATATAATAATTTTTTTTTATCCTCAACCTTTGTGTTTCTGTGAACTATGGCTTGTTAATTCGAAAGGTCAAATACTTGAATGGGTCATATAACATTGATCTCAGAATACTTTTATGACAAACGTGATAACAGTTCAATCTTGGCTAAATTGAAGATGGTTTAGAGTTAACAATTATAAGAACTTTTCACTAACATATGCTGCTGACAAAGGAGAAAATATATGCAATTCTGCATTTTTTGCTTTCTATCAAGCAATCATATGTTTGCTCCTTATCACGCTATGATACTTCCGTTTTGTCACATTCAAAAAAATAACTTGAGAAATACACTGTCACTCATCTTACACTGTTATATTTACCTATTACAGAAGGCTGGAAACAAAGATTTTGTTTTCAAGAAAATAAGATTTCTTGTCCAAGACACAAGGAAGTTTGACTGCAAAGTACAGATAAAAATGCGAGAAATTTTATTTTTTTCAGAGAACAAGGTAGTTCTACTCATGTATAAACAGAACAAATGCGATTTAATAAATCAGATATGCGGCATGACTCCTTTTCTTCCATCCCCTCTCAAAACAAGCAAACACACCTATAGAGGTTCCAGTCTGGTCTGCAAATGAAAAGGAGGAAGGTGATCACTGCAAAATTAAGCATTAGGGTTCTTATTTATAACATATTGATTATTGTATACTGATATCTAGAAATTAAGGTTGCAAGTAGCAGCCAGCTGAGTTATAGTTTGAGTTTTATCAAGTCCATTACTTTGTTAAATTTAGAGTAACCTTGTCTTGAGAGAGGAAAATTGAGGAGCTGTAATATACTTATCATCAGTTAGGGACCACAAAGAAAAATTTATTTATAGAGACTTTTGAAGGAGAGGGGTAAGACTTGTGACAAGCTGGCAGACATATAGATAAACTTTACTGCTAAATGGGTTACAATACAAAGTGCTCAGTATTTGGATCAGCTATGGCTCGACTTAAACTTTGCTTTAGCTTCAAGTTTAATCCTTTGTGGTTTCCTTTCTCTGTGTTTATTTTTCATGTTATGCACACAGAAGAACACAAAAATGACAAGGAATGCTTTTGAATATTAAGAGGCTGGAATAAGCAAGAAACCAAAACTGAATTTTAAACAGTTCAAAGTTAATTTGATCTTCCAATGTTATTTAATTTTAACCATAAATAGAATTTGCTATTTAAATTTATCCCCTCCATTTTTCTGGATATTGTGAGCAAAAACAAACAATTATCACAAAATGCATGGTATACAATGGTTTGATTCACCAATGTGGCAAAGGCCTTTCACTGTCTATCCATAAAAATGGAAATAGTTTGTAAAATGTAAGACATTCTGCATCTTGAGCATATACTTATTCATCCATGTGAAATTAAAGGTTACTTGAAAGAAATGTGAAAGATTTATAGGATTTTCAGACCCTTGATAACAATTACTAATGTGCTGATTTGTTGTACTTAAAGGTTATGATTTTAGCAGAAATAGTGGAAGAAATTTCTGGACCTGGAATTTTGTTACAAATGCCTGTTTAAATCAGTTTAAGCCAGTTAAAAACTCTCCTGTTTCAAGATTACATGATTACCACACCAGAACCTTTTGTATTCTATATTGTGCACCATGTTATGATTATGGTTTCAATAATAAAAGGTGCTGACTCAAGAACTTTGCAAAATATCTCTACACAAAGAAATAGATTGTGGTTATGTACTCCAAATAGCAGGTCACATCAGTCTTCTGTAAGGAAGTAGCAGAAATTGCTATGGTGGTTTTGGTGGATGGAGAGAAACATCCACCAAAACCACTTTATTCTATGTGTTAAGAGTTATGATAATCATTATGAACGTTTGGTCGGTCAGCAATTGTGCACCATAAAAAATAATTAGCCAGAGCACTAACTGCTAATTAGTGGTATAAATCTTTTGTCTCCCTGAACATCTAACAGTGGTTATAGATAAAATTTAAAAAATATATTGTTGATGGTTTTGGTCAAAGTTTTGGTGGATGTTCCCCAATGGCATCCACCAAAACTACGTAACATCTGGGCACCTTTTAAATACGTGAAATATCTGCATAAAATTGCGTCAAATGGGCTAAACTTCAGAATACCCCGCAACTCATTTCCGCCTCACTTACATGTGTCGGGAGGCTCTGAAGATTGAGGCATAACACAATATAATAGACGCTATTCTTATTCAATGACATGTAAATGAGTTGCGGGGTATTCTGAAGTTGCTCCGTAAAATGTTTTATAATACTACAATCGAACAATAAATTAATACTTACCATTTCTTGAGTAAAAAGTTTTGACGCAATTTCCCAAACAAATGATACACTTAGGTCATCGGGATGAGTCGGCATGTTGTCGTAGCTTCGTAATTTTCATGTCATGAGTTGTCCATCATTCCATCTCAGTCCCTCTCGACCAAGGTGGTTTTGGTGGATGGAATCTAATGCTGACCTATCTGTCGAGTCACTCTGAGTTAAATCTTCAAGATGGCGAGCGGTCTCTTCGGCCATGCGGGCCGATCTTCGTCGAAAAATCTCGTCGAATTCCGCGCTGGAAAAATGACTATGAAAGGCACTACTGTCACGCCGGATAAAAGAAAGGGAATGGTGTACATTTACCAGAGTGAAGATTCACTTATGCACTTCTGTTGGAAGGATCGAGGCACGGGAAATGTTGAGGACGTAAGCAGAAATTCTTGCAATAAATTCTTTTGTCTCATTACGTACTCTAGTTGATTTTGAAATTCTATGCCTAATACTTCAAGATGTCATTAAGTTAAGCGTCACTAACATTTTGGTTTACGATAACTCACTGGAACACTGGAATTTATATCAGATTCGAAAAAAATTATATATCGTGAACGCTAATTATTAGACTAGTTAAATTTTTTGTAACTGCATCTTGCCTCGATCTTCTTTAAGGCAATCGTCAATCGATCAGCTTTTTTATCGTTATTTGACTTGCTTTGATGTCGTCAAGGAATTTATTACAGAGTAACAAAATGAAACAAACTTGGAAGGCGAAACGCTATACGAATCTCTATAAATATCATAGCATACAAGCTTAGTAGGGGCTACTAAAAATAAATACATTGTAGTGTTGACATATTCAGCATCTTTCAGTTAATTTGGGACACTGTTAATGCCGGTAAAATTTCGGCACAGCCCCATACTATTATAAAACAAATCTGTTTTCCCAATGGCAATGTATCGTTTTTGTCATTGTTTTCTCTATCCAAGAACTGAATGCATAGTGTGGGATGGGACTGTGCAGAAATTTTACCTTAATGCCTCTTCAAAGCGTAGAAAGGGGAAATAGAGTGTGCCCCTGTAAAACTCCCAACTTGTGAGAGGCAATTCAGTTTAATTTGGATCTTAAATAAAAATTTAGACAGACAGATTTTGATTGCATCTTAAAACGTCTGGGATATGCCACCACAAATATCAGAGTTCATACAAGTCATGGAATTTGACATCATTTTCTAGGCCTACTCAGTCATTTTTTTTTAAGTCAGTCACTGACCAAAATTATCAAGAATTCACTGACTGTTGGAAAATTTCATAATTAATTTTATTTTTCCAAAACAACCCTTTTATAAACCATCTAAATGAGTTTCATTTTAATTATCTTTCATATCTAACTGACTTAACACAATCTAGACTATGCATTAACAGCAGAATCTCTTGATTGTTGAAAAAAATTCTCCTCATCAACACTCAGGAAATGTATAGAGAACAGTATGGAGAATATGCATACTTATGACAGGGTGTAAAGGGTTAAATTGAAAGTAAAATAATTTTGTAGGCTGAAGAGAATATGAACACTAAATAAGAACAGACACTGCACTTGCAATTCAAATAAAAAATGATTTCTTTACTTTCAGGATCTCATCATCTTCCCTGATGACATTGAGTACAAGCGCGTAAAACAGTGCACTACAGGAAGAGTGTTTATCCTGAAATTCAAATCATCCACTCGCAAGTTCTTTTTCTGGATGCAAGAACCCAAGACGGACAAAGATGAGGAGTATAGCACCAAAGTGAACAATTTGCTGAATAACCCTCCCACCCCAGGGTCAGGTGGTGGTGGCAGTGGTCTCCCCCCTGCTTTGGCTGGGCTAAGTGAACAGTTGGGTAAGAGTGTTTGGTACTTACAGAATGCCCGACTTGCAAGTTGCAAAGACCTTTGTATGAAAATCAATGACAACTCTCAACAATATAAGCTACAGTAAACACTGGCAGATAACCAGCAACATTTTTTCATAGAATTTTTGTAACAAAGCAGGGTACAGCTTATCTGTAAGAACATCTGGAAAACTTGCTGCAAATTTGCATGAATTAGAACTCTTTATTGAAAATTTATAAGTCTGTTAAACCTTTCACTCTTAAGATCTCATTAGTAATTCTCCTTCCTGTCTGCCATCAAACACTTATGATGTCAGTTTGGAGAATTTGGTATTGGATGAACTTGCAGTCCCCTACATGTAACTGAGTTTTCTTCTTTATTCTCCTCACTTGTCCGCTTGCTACTGTATTGATATTGTAAAGAGAAATTGTGTCTTGATCACTCATAGGAGTTGAAGTGTTAACTAGGAGCTGCTGCTACATTGAAACCAATTTGGCCTGAAATCAAATGAGAGGCATGCTGGCCCTTCTTGATTGGATTGCACCAGAATATACTCAAAGAAACCTGTAAATGTCTTGGCCAGGAACAAGGGCCAGAACATATTGTACAATAGACCCAGCTCTCTTGACATGGAACCAAAGTTTCATACTTTTTTGATGGATAACCATTGTGTCATTTAACAGGTGATGGTCAGTTGCAAGGCTTGTTGGGAAATCTGGACCAGCAGCAGTTGCTTCAGTTACTGAGTGGTTACGGAGGATTGGGTGGGCATGGTGGGTTGTCCAGTGCTGGCAGCTCTATAAGTGCACCTACTGCTGCTTCTCCTACGTGAGTAGACTACTATTTTATGGAACAAAATATAGCTGAACCCTTCCACAAGATCACACCTTTAATCCTTTCACTCCATTGATCTGATTATCAGTGCTTCAGACTGTTTTTTTACTACATTCTCTTATAAATTTTATGTCTGAGAATTGTTTTTAACCCTTCAAGTCCCAGAATTGATTAATATGTAACTTCTCCCCATAATATCCATACATTATTCAGCCAACAGGCAATAAGAATACTCAAACTTATCAGATAGAAGTTCTTACCTTGATCAAACATCAAACTCTTGTAAATCATTTATAAGGAAATATGTAGCAGTTAGAGGGTAGAATTACAATCAGATCTTGGGATTTAAAGGGGTAAATTAAGCAATATCCTTAGGAAGTACATGATTATATTTGTCACTCATCATCTTTTTGTTGGAAGATGAATTGTTGTCGTAAGGTGAAAATCGCTTTGATCACTTCTTGGAGTGAAAGGTTTAACCCTTAAAAAATTGCACAAATTCTCCCAGTGTGGAGAATATGCATTCGAATGTTAGGGTGCAGAGGGTTAATACCACCATCTTGCTCCCCAAAAATAATAATCTCCCTTGTCTTTATTTGATAAATTCTTGGTGACTTTTAATTTTAATTAAGACAGATGTATGTTTACATTTCTTACACAGGCCCACAAGGGTTCAGTCCTCACCAGGACCCAGGAGCACTTCCTCAGCTTCATCATCAGGGACCACCACACCACGCCCTGCAACAGCTACTCCTTCAGTGCCTCCAGCTCCCCAATCCCGTCCAACACAGCCTCGGCATGCTGTGCAGCTGACTGACTTACAGAATATTCTGTCCAATATTCAAGGTGAAACTAGTTGAAAGCAATATAATGTGTGAGCAAACCTTTCAGAGCATTCACTCTAACATGTAAGCAACCTCTGTACAAGCTCTCCATTCTGTTTTCTATACATGGTTCCTCACAAGAACACATTTTCTGCACGTAACAATCAACAGCTTCTTTAGTTGGTGATTATTTTGTTTATTGTCATGACCTTAATTTTTGATTCAGGAGTGAAACATTTGGGAGAATTGAAATGCTTATCACTGTTAGGAGTTAAAGGGTTCAATAGATAATTATTATGGTAGTTTTTCAAACTTTTTATTTGTGACTGAGTCAGAATTTTGCCTGTTGGCCTTTGAAGAGGAATTTAGATATCTGTGAGTTGGTGTGATAAACAACTTGGAAATGAAAAACATGAAATTTGTTTTTAGACTGCAATATATTTAACCCTTTACACCCTAACATCAGTATTCATATTCTTCATACCATTCTCTGTACATTTACTAAGGTGCTGACAAGGAGAATTTGTCTAACAATCAAGAGTTTCTTTTAGTTGGTGATCATTTCCTTTATTCTCATGACATTAATGTGTGATTCAGTGGTGATATTTTAAGGAGAAATTAGATGCCAGTCACTCTTAGGGGTTAAAGGTTCAAGAGGCTATTCATCACCCCTGTTATTGACTGGTTTAATCCTTTTGTGATAATGTGATACAAGGGTACACATTACTTGTGAGTTAAAATACAATCAAGGGAGAACAAATAGAGATTTTTCCTTCCTAATTTCACTCAGGTAATTTAGTGTTAACAACTGGGTTGAAAACGTAAATTAGCCACCGTAAAGGGTAAAAAAGCTGATGTTTTGAGCGTTAGCCCTTTGTCAGAGCGTTAGCCCTTTGCTCTGACGAAGGGCTAACGCTCGAAACGTCAGCTTTTTCACCCTTTACGATGGCTAATTTACGTTTTCAACCCAGTTGTTAACACTAAATTACCTGCTATACTCTCCCACCAACACAGCACCACAGTTTCTTTAGAAACTTACCCCTTTATTAATTTCACTCAGTTTGGTTCTGTTGATTATTTAATTATTTTTGAACAGTGCCTGCAGAAAATGCGGAACAAGCAAGCCGAGAGAGTAAGTTGAATGTTCCTGATTATTACTTCCTAATTTACATGGCCTCAGCTCTTATGATATAAAATTGAAATTCATTGCTATTTTTTGATAGTTTTCCTTTTGAAAATAAACTGAAACTATGAGAGGGATTCTGGAACAATTCAAGCCTGCAGCAAAAAGGAAATGTTTTTTTTAATTTTACAAGCTGGGCAGTTTCAGAAGGACCATACACTGAGAATGGTGAAGGTATTCACCCTTTACACCATTACATCAGTATGCAAGTTCTCCTTACTGTTCTGTATACACTTCTCATGGTACTTAAATGGAGAATTTGTTTAACAATCAAGAGCTTCTTGGGTTTGTTATTATTTCCTTAATTCTCATGACCTTAATGTGTGATTCAGGGGTGATACAGTTGGGAGAAATTAGATGTGCATCACTCTCAGGGGTTAAAGGGTTAATCTCTAGTCCATAACAGTAGTTTCTCCTGAAATCTTTCCAGATGTGGATCTGTCCAGTGTTTTTACTCCTGACTCCATCATGCCTTTGTTGTCGGACCCAGAGTTCCGTGAGCAGCTTGCTCCTTTTCTTCCCGCTGGTGAAGAGTTGCCTCAGAGTCCAACTGAGTTGTCAAACACCTTACGCTCACCTCAGTTTCAGCAGGTACTGTATGACAATGGGATGGTGTGCGGTCAACCCCTGACACCTGAACATCAGTGTTCATATTATCCACACTGTTTTTTATACATTAGGTGCTGACAAGAACAACATGTCTAACAATCTAGAGCCTCTTAACCCTTTAACTTCCAGATCAAATTTGTCATTCTCCTTACTGTCAACCATACAATTCTTAGAATGTTAGTTCCAAGAATTTAATATTGGATCAACTAATTATCCCAAATTTGATATTTTTCTTTATTCTCATCACTTAGCAGGTTGATGTTGTATTGATATTGTAAGAAGAAATTCCGTCTCACTCTCTCATGGGAGTTAAAGGGTTAAATTGGGGATCATTTCCTTTATTCTCATGTTTATTACATTTTATTTAAGGCAAATACAGTGAGGAGAACTTAGAAGCCAGTCACTCTGAGGGGTAAAAAGATTGATCACTCTTGTCAGTTCACTGGCCCCCTTAATTCTGCAGCTTATCCCAATTTCATAGGCATGAAGTGAACTGAACTGTCAATGAGAACCAGAAGCTGGCCAAAGCCAGTGGATAAACTGCCATCTTGAGCTGGCTATTTGCACCTCATAGTACCAAAAGTTCTGATGGAAAATTGTACATTATTTTTATAAATACAGTACAATCAAAGAAATTTGAACGTCAGTTATTTCCTAGTTTGATAGAAATTGAATACAAATTTACCAGTGACAGAATTTGTGGCAAAGTTTGTGCAAACTGAACTTTCAACTCTCCCCCTCCCCCCCCCCATTCACTTTTGCACACTTTGTCACTCCTGGGTAGAGAGAGACAGTGTGAAACTACAACTACATGTACAACTGATCTTTCCCAGGTCATCCTGGTAGCCTGAATGTACACTGTATGCTGTGTTCACATAAACTTAATGCACCCAGAAAATAGGATCAAAGTGTTTTTCTTACAATTACATCACAAGAGCAACCATTCTTTTGATAAATGACATTCAATGGAGCTGTTACTTGCCTCTTCAGAATGTATTGTAAGCCTTAGAAACTCCAATTTAACTCAGTTGATAAAAGTAAATGGATCAATATCAGTATCTGGGCAACTGCACACCTACCCCTCCCCTAACTCAACATTAACCCTAACTTGTTATCAATTGACTGTTGTTGAGTTAGGGGAGGGGTAGGTGGGCATTTGCCCAGATACTGATAGTGATCCAAGTAAATTATCTAGTAATACCCCTTCCTTGCACTAATGCAGCACCACAGTTTTGTTAAAAAACTTGCCGCCCCCCCCCTTGTTAATGCAACAGTTTTGAAGTTGATGGAAAATTGCCTGTGTGAGCAATCCAAGTCTCAAATGTAGTTTGAAGAGTGAAGTGTTATCAATTGTTATGCTGCTCATGTTATGTTCAGGCCTTGGGAATGTTCAGTTCCGCTCTGCAGTCAGGTCAGCTGGGTCCTTTGATGGGTCAGTTTGGGTTTAATGATGAAGTCATGGGAGCTGCAAGGAGAGGAGGTAAGGCAGTCTTGATTACATGGTGAGATTATTTCCAATTATTGGACAGTGCTTAAAAAACTTTTCTGGAGGCTTTTCCAGCATGGCTTCAAGATGTGAAAAGGCTATGCATGCCTAGCAAATCTGGTCTAATGTGATGGGTAGGCCACGTCTGAAATGCGTTTTAGTTACCAAACTACCTTGTCTTTCCTTCTTTATTTTAGACATGGTTGGATTTGTGCGTGCTGTCCAGGATTCATCTCGTCCCAGTACTGCTGATAGTACCAGTACCTCTGATGCAACATCACGGCCAACTACAGCTAATGATGGTGACCAGGAGACCGAGGACAAAGATAAGGACGAGGATGAGGCTATGAGTTTGGACTGATTGAATTGAGTTACTGATTATGTGAAGTGCCCTTCAAATTTCTGTGTGGAATTGTCAAAAATAAATTGTCAACTAGTTAGGTTTTTTTTCCTCACCATATTTTGTGTTTTGGTTTCAAAGGAATGTAGGCATGATGGTTGTGTGTTTATTAAAATTTACCCTATATGTGCAAAACTTTTGTCTCTTTTTTTTCTCCCAAGAGCTCATGATAGCCCTGTAAACTTTTTAAATATGAACTTTGCCACCAAAATCAATTGGTAAATCATTTTCCTTTTTATTTTATAGTTATCATTCAATGTCTTTTAATTTATGTTTCATCTGTTCATTTCTGTATTATTTCCAGTCCATTTAATTTGAGATAAATTTAATCTAATTCGGTAGAAAATTGACCTGCCTCAATTTGCATCAGCTATCTGCCAGTCAAAGGAATATTTTGTACTCTAAATGTGAGAAATAGATAAAGTGTGAAAGGTGTGAATAAGGAAAAAAGCTATTTAGAAAAATGCCTGTTAATTCCTCTTACAAATTATTAGGAACTAAAAGTCTGGAGTGAACCTGTAAACTCTAATGGGTCACTAGCATATAATTACTAACCACATTGGGATCAATATCAGTATCTGGGCAACTGCCCACCTACCCCTCCCCTGACCCAATGTTAGCCCTAACTTGTTATCAATTGACTGTTGTTGGGTTAGGGGAGGGGTAGGTGGGCAGTTGCCCAGATACTGATATTGATTCCCACAGGATCACATTGTAACTTCTAAATCAAACAGCAAGGTTAAGAGAGTTAAGGAAAATATTGAAAAAAAATTTAAACTGGAAGAACCCCTTTTTCCTTTCAATAGCTGAGATTACATATAAAATTGTATAAAATTGTCATGAGTTGACATGACAAAAATATGTTTCATAAATCAAAAATATTCAAACATGCTTGTAAGTGCCACACCATTTCCAAATAGAACTATTTATTATCCAACTGCACTTAGTATCTTGTATAAATAACACACCAATAGAGTACAAATATCCTGCAATATTGTATGGTTATTTGGACAATTGGTTATTCTGCACTGTAAAAAACCTGTTTAAACAGTTGGCTGTGTGTGCTATGCTTCACTACCCACTTTTCTTCTCCTGCTGTATGAGAAATGTAGACTTACACGTAAACTTCACAGAAAAAAAGCAGTTGGATAATAAATAACATATTTGCCATTTTAGTGTGTAATATCAGAGTATTTTTACCCATTGATTGTATTTTGACTTGTCCTATGGGCTCATCAAAATGCAAAAAATTCAAAACTGTAAAAATACTCCGCTTTCCTTTGCACTAAATCATCTAATAAGATAAAAATATTAACCCTTTACTTCCTAACATGATAATCCATATTCTCTTTACACTTCTCTATAAATTTCCTTTAAGTACTAATAACAAGACTTCATTTAAAAATCTAAGCTTCTAAGATTAACAACCACTTATTTTATTATCCTGATGTTAATAAAAGATTCAGCAAGATTACTGTAAGGAGGAATAAAATGCTAGTAATTTTTTGGGAGTCCTCCAAATCAGACAACAGACAGTGTTGAAATGATTTAAATCCTTTCAATCAAACTTCTCCAGGCTCTCTCAACTTGCTCTTGAGTAAACTCAGGTTCCCACAAAGTGCAAATGGCAACATTTGCCTTTTTTACCCTTTCTTCATTGCTAATCTGGGATTTAATTCTGTTGAGAGCCTGTTCTTCTGAGATGCCATCTCTTGAAAGAATGCGCGTCACAGCCTCGTTTTCTGGGACAAATGTCACCCATACTTCATCGGTTGCTTTGTCCCAGCCAGCCTCCAAAAGAACTGCAGCATCCAAGATGCAAACCTTGAAACCTTCCTCTGCATACCTTGCAATTTCTGCTTGGGCTTGTAACAAAATTTCTGGCCAGACGATGCGATTTAGCAATGTGAGCTTGGCCTTGTCAGCAAAAACAACAGAGCCCAGAGCCCTTCTGTTGATATTCTTTTCCTCAGTCAGAATTCCATTTCCAAAGTTCTCAATAATTTCTTTGTAAGCCTTCTTCCCTGGTGTGTATGCCTGATGTCCCAACTGGTCACAGCTAATGACTGCGGCACCCAGGCCTCTGAGCCTTTGGCAGACTGATGATTTTCCACTAGCAATCCCTCCTGTTAGACCAATGACATAAGGGTGCCCATGTGCTCTTTCTTTCCTAGCAACAGGTTGTAAAAGTTTTCCCAATAATTTCTGTCTTTCCATGGTAGAACTCATCTTCTCTTCTCCATGGTGGTGTCTTCCCTGGTTTGACTCCATGTCTTTTTCAATGACAACATCAATCACATGCACATCAAGTGGGTTCAAACCCTTTTTCTCACGCATGTCATTCACCACAAATCCTCCTTTCTCTGTTTCCTTACTAACGATGAGACACTGGTATTCTGGGTCAGTTCCTGCTGGACCAACAGGGTCAGTCAGTGGTATGATGTTGTGTTCCAAACCTGGGAAGTATACATGTGTTTAAGATTTTTGGAATTTCTGATTTTCAGTGCAGAACCACAATTACCAAAGAAAAAGTTATTTTGATACAGACACAGGTAATGCAGTCATTACACCAATTGAATGGTAATCTTTTGGGAAAGGAGAGGGCTGGGTGTAACCATTCAACTTCCAAGATCTGATTGTTAATTCTCCCCTCTAGCTGCTACACATTTCCTTGTAAATAAGTTATAAGAATTTGATGTTAGATCAAGATAACAACTTCTACCTGATACATTTGAGTATTCTCATTACTTGTTTTCCTAATAGTGCATGGATATTGTAGGGAGAAGTTACTTGTTAATCATTTCTAGGAGTTAAAGGGTTAGCATACCATACACGCTTTGCTTGGAACTGTATAATTTTGTGTTGATAGTTTTGTCTTGAGCCGTATTTATATTCAGGGCATGAAATTGCACCTAATACAGGCGACAATGCGACTAAATTTTTCACTTTGACAACCAAATCCTAAAAATTAGTTGCCAAATTGGTGACTAGAATGTTTCATCATAACCTTACTTAGAGATATGTTGAATTAAAAAGATTTGCAAAAGATAAATCTGCGGCAAACTTCCTCATTAAGTCTCAATCAATGACTAGACGCCACCTTGGATTTAGGATGTAGGTGAGCTTGAAGGTTGTATATCTTCCATCCTAGTGTCCACTCTGTAGCAGGTTAAAGATCTTTTTCCTAACTTAATTTTGAAGGGCCTATCTAGAGCCCTGACAGCGTAAAAAATGGTTTTGTTTGTCTTTGAAAATGGTGACCAACTTTTTTTGAATTGGCTACCACTTTGAAGAATTTAGGAGCCAAGAGGCTATCACAAAAAAAAAAAAAAATTTAACGCCCTGATATTGCTAACTCAGTGTACCACTATGAATAAAGGGGGTGGGTTTCTAAAGAAAATGTGGTGCTGCGTCGGTGGGAGAGTATAGCAGGTAATTTAGTGTTAACAACTGAGTTGACAACATAAATTTGCCATCGTAAAGAGTAAAAAGCTGAAATTTTGAGTTATAGCCCTTCATCAGAGCAATTGGAGGAATTGTGGGTTGTGTGTGGGTTTATATGCAGAAAGTGGAGCTATGCTATTGGTTGGAATATGGTGATGAGAAAACAGGAATAAATAAATATTAGTTGAATGAAAAGTGCTTGTTGATACCGTGGGGATTAAGAGTGCCAATCTGGAAGATAAATATTTTGTCCTACTGTTTTGCAGCTTTCTGAACTGCCTAGATATAAGGAAAGGCCACAAACTGCCATATGTTGTCAAGATTAGTGTGCTGTGAGATGTTGGTCAATAAAACCTTAAGTTTAGTAGGTAGGTCATCTTTAAAATACATAAAGAACTAAAAAATATATAATTTTATTCAGCAATAGGAAAAGCCATTGTAGTGGGCTATATCACTAGTAAATCTTTCTTTTAAAAATAGAGGAGAAAAAGTTAACAATAACTGATCAGGTACTTATAGTGACAATTGTAGTTAATTATTTACATGGCTGTTAATGAAAATCAACTCAACGCACAATAGAAACAATACCTGGCTTTACGTCCTTAAGAAACTCTTGCAAGTTACTCTTTCTATCCTGGAAAGGTTCGATGAGTTCTTTTAAGACCTTCTTTTCCAGAAGAGGTCCCTCGCTAAGACCAATGGTGATTCTCTGTTCGCAAAGCAAAGAACCAACAGCCAGAAGCAACCTGTGACCAGAATGCATGTGATCAAACGTTCCACCGAGGACCACTTGTTTGTAAGTCTGTAGACATGTATCATTCAGATCATTACCGAGCTGCTTTTGTACTTCTCCCTCGCTAATAAGCTCATCTCCAAGTTTCAAATACTTGAGCTTTCCGTCGAGATCGGAGAACTGAAAACGTTTCGTCAACCATTTCTTGAACTTCAAAAGACCAACTTTCGATTGATCGTTTTCAAACACATCGCGAACGAAAGCAACCTCGGGCGACTTGACGAGATTTCTTACTTCTTCAGTACAACCATCATTAGCGGTCAAAGTTCGAGGTAGTAAAACTCGGACATCCAGCTCCCCGATTTTGGAAGAGCCGGTTCCATAAACATGAACCAACAGCTCGTACAAACTGCGAACGCGTTGGACAACAAAATCAGGTTCGTAGATATCTACATAAAGAACTCCTTTAACTTCTTGCGAAACTTGGGTCAAAAGAGCGGGCAATTTACGCCTGAGGCACGAAGGTGAAAGAACTAGAAGCCCGTAACGAAACATAGACTTAACACAATTGACTACCGGATTACGCAGTAAAAGGGTGGTTGACGCAATCGACTCATTCTTCTACTATGTAAGAGAACTGGATCTAGCTCGGCAACAACGAACATTTCACGAAGTCCATACGAACATTCCCGGAAATCGACTTTCACGAAAATAAAACTCACGTTGAATACATCGTCGAACTATTTAGGTTATCTAACAAACAGCTCGTTTTCAGCCTCATGAAAAACTTTTGAGATTTGGCATGGGACGTAAAGTGACTCTTGCAGCTTGTAGCTTAAATCAATGGGCCCTAGATTTCGAGGGAAACTTGAAAAGAATTCTTCAGAGCATCAACATTGCTCGCGCACATGGAGCGACTTACAGACTCGGTCCTGAGTTGGAAATTCCCGGCTACGGTTGCAATGACCATTTCCTGGAAAGCGACACGTTACTGCATTCTTTTCAAGTCCTGGCGTTGTTGTTGAAATCTCCCGTGACGAAAGACATTATATGCGACGTCGGAATGCCCGTTATGCACCGAAATGTACGGTACAACTGTAGAGTTATCTTCCTCAATGGAAAGATCCTCTTGATTCGACCAAAGATGACTTTGGCTTGTGATGCGAATTACAGAGAAGGAAGATGGTTTACAAGATGGGCGAAGGTAAGACGATCTCTCATGTGTTCCGGGGTCTGGAGGGAGGGGGGTTGCAGAGGCGAAGAGGAACTCTGTCATTGAATTGGCATCCGTCACCCCAGCTTAATTATAAAATCATTTTTCGAGTTGTGCTGGGGATATCCCAGCAGTCTGTGGGTTTTACTGTCTATTTTAAACAAGTATTGGCCTTTTTTTTTTAACTTTGGAGGTAGAGAATAATAGTGAATGCTTGATGGGAGTCAGAGATTGATATGACTTTTAAATCAGTTTTTTTTCTCTCCTCAAATCAGACAAGGCAAACTGAAGAGTACTTCCTGCCTCGCATGATATCTGAAATTACTGGTCAAGTAACAGTTCCTTTTGGAGATGGTGTGATCTCAACATTGGATACTTGTGTTGGCACAGAAATCTGTGAGGAACTTTTCAGTGTAAACTGTCCTCACATAGCTATGGCTCTTGATGGAGTGGAGATTTTTACAAATGCCAGTGCAAGTCATCATCAACTTAGGAAGTTAAACAAGAGAGTTGAATATGTGAAGGATGCCACTGCCAAGGTATACATTTGTGTTATTTCTGAATTGCTGATATACTTTTTTCTGCCTAAAAAGAAGTAGTGTTTGGCACAAGGCATTTTTAGCAGTACTTAATATATTTTATAGTAAGGTAGTCCTGTGGGAGATTCAAGCGTGGGGATTGGTTCTTACTTAGTCCATATTTTGCCATACAGACTGTTTCTATGGATGGCTGTTATCAACCCTTTAAACAACTGGGTCCTGGACTGTGTTGTGTTACAATATATTAGTCACAGTGCATTTGTGCAGTTGCAGTTTGTAGAGTTGATTAGGAGAGGGGGAACAAAAGAGCTTGGCTTTAGCCTTCACAATCATGCGACTTTTTCGAATGCCACATGCTGATTATATGCTTTTCTGTTAACCCTTTAACTCCCAGGATCTCATTAGTAATTCTCCTCCTTGTCTGCTAATACAGTTCTTGTCCTGTTGGTTTGGAGAATTTGGTATTGGATCAACTTATAATCCCCTAAGTGATATTTTTCTTTATTCTCATCACTTATCTGGTTGATATTGTATTAATAATGTAAGGAGAAATTCTCTCTTGGTCACTTATGGCAGTTAAAGGGTTAAAAGACAGACAAGCTCTAAGAATTTTCTTTCATTCTTTTAGGGTGGTGGCATTTATGTCTATGCCAATATGCGAGGCTGTGATGGAGAAAGAGTCTACTATGACGGCTGCTCTATGGTGGCAGTTAATGGAAAAATAGTTGCACAAGGTTTGCAATTTTCCATGCAAGAGGTTGAAGTTGTAACCTCCACTGTCGATTTGGAAGAAGTGCGTTCCCATCGTGGTGCAAAGCCAACATTTGGTTCAAATGCAATGGATCTCACCCAGAGCTATCCCAGAATCAAGGTGGACTTTGCATTGAGCCGTGAAGATGATATTTCGGTTGCTCCTGCTGAACCCATAGATGTCCGTTATCACACGCCAGAGGAGGAAATAAGCCTGGGGCCGGCATGCTGGCTGTGGGACTACCTCAGGAGAAGTGGCCAAGCTGGCTTTTTTCTACCTTTGAGTGGAGGTGTGAAATTAATTCATTTTACCTTGCAACTCTGGAGATCCAACTATTAAGTGGGCTGTCATCATAGTAAATAACACTTTCAAAAGAAAAGTATTATCATTTGTCTTATGATGTGGTCATATTGGATGTGGACAGTGGTGTTTCGACTGCATACTGCAATTGTTCTTCAGGCAATAAGGTTGATTGAGTACCTGTTGCCCATATGCTGTTGTGCTTAGCTGTTGTGCTCGGCTGGTGTCATTTAGAAATAACATCCACTGGCTGATATGCTTTTATTTTCTTATAATCTGTTTAATTAATATAGCATTTTGGAATCACAGGGAGAAGTTACATGTTCATCACTTAGAACTAAGAATTAACCCTTTACACCTGAACATCAATATCCATATTCTTCCCAGTGCTCTCTATACATTTTTTGTTGTATTGACAAGGAGAATTTGTTTGAAAATCAAAAGCTGTTTCAGTTGCTGTTCATTATAATAATAATAATAACTTTATTTAAGTGTCAGTGTATTTTAGCACTGCTGTGCTAATTGGGGACACTGTAAATAAGGAAACAAATATAGTAAATGAACAGAAACTCGTTAAAAACCCCAACTGGTAGGAGGCAGACCAGTTGGCTATTTACAAAGCGTGCAGGAGTTGAATTCGGGGCCACCGAAGACAAATCCATCCAGTGGCAGGGAAGAGGACTTGAACCCGGGACCTCCGGCTTACAAGTGCAGCGCCCTAACCACTAGGCCACGCTCGCCTCCTCCTCATTTCCCTTATTCTTGTGACCTTCAAGTTTGATTCAGCAGTGTTACTCTACAGTGAAAAAGTATGTTAGTCACTTGTATGAATTCGATAAGTCAGTCACATATTTCCGGGAAATTGAATTCTGAGTTGAAAATTTTTTGATTACTTGAAAGGTTATGCAATGCTTATCAGCATTTTTAATTTGTCAATTTCCAAAAAATTTGAACAGTTTTTCTTTATTTATGCAATTTGGCTTCTAGTGTAGTGCAGTTTTATTTGATCTGTTATAATTTAAGAAAAAATGAGTGGAAGAGCTGAGAGGGTCATTTCCTCTGCTGGAAGTTCTTCTAAATGGAACAATTACATTTTGTGATTTCATTAAGGACTTTTGTAATACTTATTTATCTATTTGTATTAGTGTTTGGATAAAATTCATGGTTTTCTTCTCAAATTAATTGTAGGCATTGACAGTTCATCAACAGCCTGCATTGTAAGCTCCATGTGTCATCAGGTGTGTCAAGCTGTCAAAAGTGGAGATCAACAGGTGTTGGAAGATGCTCGTAGGATTGTGAATGACAAGTGAGTTATTAAATTAGAAATTGCAGTGAAGTTATTCACTTCAGATCTAGTGATTTTTACATACCTTACCATTACATGGGTGAGTCAGCTTTCATAGCCTTTTCTGAATTTTGGATTCAGCGGTTAGGAAGGTGTATGAAATAACAAAAATTGTTATTTATCTAGACTTTCACTCAACAAAATCAGCACTGTGATTGGTTGATTTTTGGTCATGTGCCCCTGATCAAATTCAAATGTATCCTGACTAGGCTACAATTGCACAGTTGTTGCCTGGGTGCCGAATACATCAGCATGCTTTTGCCATATGATTGTTGAAGGAAAAGTCTAAATATATAACAAAGCACTTAATGCATGGTTCCTTGGGAAACTAGTTAGTTTTGTTTTCCCTAGTCGAGGGAAACATCAGGACATTCGGGAAAACAAAACTAACTGTTTCCATCGGGGCCACACATTAAGAGTATAATGTTGCTTTTTGTCAAGTATTCCTGGCAGCTGTTTTCTTGGATGTTGCTCAGTTCTCTCTGACAGATGGAGGACATATTAATGTATGAATGGAAGGCGTGCATTGTCCCCACCCCCTCCGTCTTTCTGTCTTTGTGGCAAGCTTGTTAGCTGTTTATCCAATTCAGTTTTGAGGTCAAAGGATGATAGAATGGACAAAAAGAACTGCCATGCATAGATTGTGTCATTTTGTACGTTTTTTCATCTGTGCATTATGTTTTTTCATGAATAGTTTTGTGAGCGAGGCTAACTTCTGTTGTGCTTGATTTCTTTGCCAGCAATTACATTCCTACCAATCCCAAGGAGTTTGCAGGCCGTATCTTTGTTACTTGTTACATGGGAACTGAAAATTCTTCCGAAGAAACAAGGAAAAGAGCAAGTAATCTGGCTGAGGAGATAGGCAGTCATCATATGGGTGAGGGAACCATTTCCTATGTGTTTTCCATCAAGAAATAATACTCCTTATCAGCAAGAGTATTTTTTAACTAAGTGTCAAAGTTATCCAAGTGACCAATCACAACAAAGGTTAACATTATCATTAGCCAATGAGAGTTCAAAGCGCAAACTGTTTGAAGCGTGAGAAAACGCAAAAGGGCAAGCGGCAGAGGTTTTTAGTTTTGCATCTGACTGGTTGAGAGGATGGGGCGAATGCTCTGGACCAATCGCAAGGCAAAGTTTATTAAAACCAGTGCAATTCCGGATTACTTTCGACGCTCAATTAAAAAATTTCTCTTTGATCATATTCCTTTTAATTCACACGAACTGCGGGTGATTCTCTCGCCAGCTTACGCCAGTGTAGTCACTTCTCTCACACTGCCAAGAATTCCAGTTTTACGGTAGCCTTACACCTTTCGATATGATGGATTCTCTACGAAAATGCTAACACTCTGGCGCCAAAATTTAACGCCTTTGACGCCAAGAAATAATGAGGTGACAATGTGTAACTTAGATGTCTTATTATTATTATTATTATTATTATTATTACTGTTTTTTTTCATTTTCGCTCAGGGATCACAATCGATGCTGCTGTGAGTGCCGTTCTCGGGATTTTTACAGCAGTCTCGGGTAAAATCCCGAAATTCAAGTTATATGGCGGGACTCACCGCGAGAATCTGGCTTTACAGAACGTACAGGCTCGTCTGCGCATGGTGTTAGCGTACTTATTTGCGCAGCTGATCATGTGGGCGCGCGGGCTCCCAGGTGGACTGCTAGTCTTGGGATCAGCAAACGTGGATGAAAGGTACACATATTCCTAGAGAGTTAGAGATTTTTTCAAGAAGGTTTTTACATGGTTTTACTCTTCACAGTCACTTGAAAACTGTTCCTGGTGACAGACTTAGTTGTATCACCATACGCAAGCGAGAAGCTGCCGTGAAAAGTAATGTATGGATTGTGTGCTTTATGCAAACCGTCTCACAGGAATGACCAAAAGCTAATCTTTCCCCTTTAATATTACTGCATTATCAATCAGATGGGGTGATGAGAAGAAATATAGATAGCAATCAGAGGATGTTTTTTTTTTTTTAATTTCACATAAAATTCAAAGCAAGGAAATTGTAAGAAATGTGTGGCAGAGCCAGACAGTGCTGAGAATCGATATGTAGATCTTTGGGGTGAAATGGTTAAATCTATTGATTTACTTTTCAGTTTGTGCGGCTACCTGACCAAGTACGACTGTTCTAGTGCAGACATTAACCCGATCGGTGGAATAAGCAAAAAGGATCTAAAATCGTTCATTTTCTACTGCGTAGAAAAGTTTAACTTCAGCTCGTTGATACGAATCCTTGGTGCACCACCCACAGCAGAGCTTGAGCCGTTAGCAGACGGCCAGATACAACAGACAGATGAGGTACGTGCTTTTCATACTCCGTTCTCTTTTCTTTGTTTACGATTCTAGAATTTTACGTAACTTACGAGAGTTTTCCCCATCACTGGTCTGTGCGACAGGTGTTTAGACAATCATATGAAACTTCGTCCCCAGGGTACTCTCTCTTTCTTTAGAGAGAGGACCCTGGGATCGAAGTTGAATAAGGTACGAGTTGAAACTGCTTGTTGATTCAGAGACGTGCAAGGGAGGAGATTATTTCATAGTGATTACGTCGTATTATTCTTGCCTTAGTTTTTGGCAACATGTATCCTTGGCTGCCCCCTATCACGAAGTCGTCCCCTCTCATCGCTTAAAAATATACCACATTTCCATTTTGACGCCAAGGCTTCACAATTAAATTCCAAATTTTCTCAGAAGGGAGCAGATTGTTTTAACGCATGAAAGTAGTTAAAGGGTGTGGTGGTCGTTTCTCGAAGGTTCCGGCAACTTCACAGGCCCGTAAAGCTGTTTTTTTCTTTTTTACCTCAAGATGAGAGTTTGAAAAGATTTTATAAATTCTGCTCTTAAAATATCAGTAAAAGAAACAATGGGCTTTTAAAAGTGCCAGAACCTGTTTCTCTAATCTTAAAATTTTGATGTTAAAACGTTGCTTCGGGCCCGTTAAATTACTGAGTTTATCGAGAAACGGGGCTTGGTTCCCAAAAGTCTTCGATCGTTTAGGGGCAGAGCATCAGGACAGGTGCTCGAAAGGTCGTAGGTTCGAATTTTTCTTTTCTCGGTCTGCCTCGTTTACATTGGACCAAAGGCAAAATTAACTTTAAATTTCCTCTGCAGGAGGATATGGGTATGACTTACGACGAACTCTCAATGTTCGGTTGCTTAAGGAAGGTAACTCGTTGTGGACCGTACAGCATGTTCTGCAAACTAATCCACACCTGGCGAGGAACTTATACTCCTGCCAAAGTGGCTGAGAAAATTAAACGTTTCTTCCGCGCATACTCAATCAACCGGCACAAAATGACAACCCTGACACCCGCCTACCACGCAGAAAACTACTCCCCGGACGACAATCGATTCGATCTCCGACCGTTCTTGTACAACACTCATTGGTCGTGGCAAATGCGATTGATTGACGAGGAAGTTCGACGACTCCAAGTGGCCGAGGCGTCGTTGTTACGTCACCAGGAGCCTCGCCTTCATGTCAACAGTGACACTTTGTATGGAGGCTCTCATGATCCGCACGCGGGCAACAATGAGGGCATGACGTCATCACCGGTAAAGAGTGAGAGAACTGGAAATCAATTTGGCACCGAGGAGCATCAAACGAGACGTGAGAGACTGGAGCGGACTTTGGAAACGCTGACAAGTTTTAATCGAGGAACCACAAGGACACAGAACAGGGGAACTCCTCCGTGCCCTGCGCTGATCCGCATCAAGTCTGAGCCTGTGGATCACGAGGAAGGTCGTGCGACCCACGGTGCTGTGGACGACCCGGACATCAGACCGCGGAAGAGAAGCGAAGCCAACATGGCGGGAAGCTCTGATGGGGAGTTTGTCAGTGGAGAGAAGTACATGCGGATAACGTCACCTTAGCTGTCGATTCAGTGATTTTTCTTTTATCGCTGAAGGCTGAAATACCTTCGATTGGAGTTGGCGTCCTGTAGGTACACCCCAGTAGACGGACTTTGAAGTGTGTCTGAGCTTAGCTCCTGTCGGAGTGATCTCGAGTGCGTGTACTGTTTTTAGATTGGGTGATAATAGTCGGAACTATGTGCGAATTCCTCACCGATGACCTGCCGATGTGGCCGGTTATAGGTCCTCTGGAGTACTGACAGTTGTACAATCACCTGTTGAATTGTTGAATTGGATTCATGGTGTCAATGCAATTGATTTTTGACGTCATCCAATACTTTTCCAACCTCGTTTCCAGGAATAACTTTGGAGACGAGGCTGAGCAAGCGCATAGAGAGAGAGAGAGAGAGAGGCCCTTGAATTCCCAAAGTCTGAATCTTAACTCTCCTTTCTGGTTGCTTTCCAGATGCTTGCAAATTATTCCAAGGAATTTGGTGTGACGTCAACCTAACACTCCTGTCATCGTGTTTTTGACCCATTATAACCTAACATTTGTATGCTTATTCTCCGTAATGTTTTTCACCGCTTCACATGGTACTGACAGGGAGAATTTGTTTAAGAATCTAGAGCTGCATGAGTTGAAGATCATTTCCTTTATTCCCTTGACCGTAACGTTTGATTCAGGGGTGATATGGTATGGAGAAACAAGATGATGATCACTGTAAGCACAAAGGGTTAATCGCTCGATTGCAGTATACTGCACTGTTCTAGTCGGGTGAAGTTGCTGGTAAATCATTCCAGGATTTAAGAGGTCAGGGTCTTGTTGTTCAAAGCTTGGTTAAGGGCCTTTCCGCACTTGGCGTTTTAAAATTTTAGAATCCCCGAGTTTTGCATAAAAAAGATAATTTTTTCCTTTCTCGTAAACTGACTTCTGTTCAATTACACGCTGGTCGTAGCTTATACGACAAATGATCGACAGGGTTATCACGGTTTATTTCTTTAGTCGATTTTTTCCAGTTTTCAACTGGGACAATTTTGTCAAAGTGCGTTGGAAGATGTGTCCGCTTCGGCCAAAATTTTTCAAGTCGCGACAAACCATTCGCACTTGTAAAATGTTAGTGATGACAGAAAATTTGTCTAAATAGACAACTTTTTCGCTAGTGCTGTAAGGCTCTTAAAATACCTTAGAGTTAATGAGAAATCTGGTTGAAGATCTGAAGGCTTTAAAACAAAATTTAGGACAAATATTTTTGTCTACAATTTGATGACTGGATGCCTTTCAAAGAAGAGAGAAAATTATCCTGGAAAGGCTTTTGAACAGAGGGATGAAGAAACTCAGATTAAAATTTAACCCCGGGTTAGCGCTAAGCAGCCTTCGAACAGCTGAGCCCAGTGAGATATACTGCGTTCGAAATGCACTTTACGAACTATTGAATTTTCTTGAAAATTTTTAGTGATAGTATCAAGAACAATTTGTATTCAGAATTTTGATGAATTGATATAATTACGTCACCAGGTTATTTGGACACGCGCAAAATGAGTGTGGTGAAAAAAAAAATGGAAAGTAATGTTGTTATACAATCCTTTATTATATTTAATATTTTGGAGAAAGTGATATTATCACAATTCCAATCGGAAGAGAAAAAATTGTAGACCACTTACAAATTGTAGTTGTTTTAGATGAATGCGTGAATGTGAAATGTAGCTTTCCAAAATAGTACGGATACATGGAAACCTGTTTCTATCGCCAACTATTTTTAAACTTGTTAAGCTTCAATGACCTTATTTCGTATCCTGTCGATGAGCGCCCTTCTTTTTCGTTTTAAATCAGGAAATATAGTATCTAGAGTGGTAAGCTGCTGTGTTCAAATATATTACCTTCTAGGGCGTGTGAAATTGATGTAATTTTAAAGCAATTTTTTGCGAGTTGTTGAATGTAGATACCACTTTTTAAAGCAATAGAATTTTAAGTGTGCGGCCGAGAACATTTTGCTTATTTGTACATGCAACGAGAAGACCTTAGTAGAGACAATTTACAGTTTTAGACATTTGCTGTATAACGACGGTAGAATTGGATGCAAACTTGACTGAAGTAACCATGGCGGCCTTGTGTGTCCTGTTCGTGCCCCCTTCCTGTTGCTTAACTTGATTATTGAATTCTTTAAAAAAAAAACAGAAGTAAGAGCTGCTCTTTTCCTTGATAATTTTAAGTGGCTCTCAATTGTATGTAAAGAGTTATTGTCAAATACTCTGGAGTGAGATAAAATATATCTTATTAGACGTTTTGGTATCGCTGAGTATTTTTACGGGTTGTGCCGTATTTTGACGAGCCCGAGGAGCGATTCAAAACACAAACAACGAGTGAAAATACTCAGCGATACTACACACCAAAACGTCTAATAAGTTATTTATTAACCAACTACTTTTTTTCTGCTGGGTCTGCTCGTTTCTCATAAGGCGGAAGAAGCAAAGCGGATAAAGAAGCGTTGCGCGCGCAGCCGACTGGTTAAACAGGTTTTATAACACAACAAATTAACCAACTGTTCAAAACCTTACAATATCGCAGGATATCTGTACTCTATTCGTGTGTTATTTGTACTCTGCGTAGTGCAGTTGGATAACAAATCTTGATATGTTAAACGAAGGCTAATTGCAAATTATGGAGTCACCTTTCCTCTTTTTTTTTTCCTTTTTTTCGACCGGCACAAAACTTGAAAATCAAAATTAAGGGTGTATCTGAAAGGTTGTAGTGTTGCTATGGTATTACGGTATAATCTAGCCGAAAGAAACTGAAAATACCCAAAACATCTATCTCGTAAAATTAACTAATTTCATTATTAGTATACAGTCAAATCTGTATGGAGCAGCACCGTATTACCGATCGGTTATCTTCCGGGATTAATGTTAATGCTTTCAGTTCTAACTTTCTCAACGCTTGGCTGATTATCTTCGCCCTTAAGACTGTTGGGGCAAATGTTACGCACAACAGAAAATCAAGCAAGTCATTCGCTGGTCAACCCGTATTAGACGGCCAACCTGTATTATGCGGTTACCCCGCCATTCTTTATGGGTTACCGCTTATTACAGGTTCGACTGTATTTTAATTTGTTAAGTAACTGTCAAAGCAACCCCTAAAAAACACAGTCGACTGTCGAAAACGTAAAAAAGGTTGTAATACGCCTTTCAATTATGTCTCTGTTTAATCACTTGATTGTACGATTCCAATACAACGCTTGGTCAACTTTCACTAACAGCTACAAGCTTGTTAAGAAAAGCACAGAAGACAAAACCGAGGGGCTTGCAAGTACATAGAACAAGACCATATATAGGCATAAAACACATGCTGCATATATATATTGCATACTGGTGTTATAAGCAAAAATCGAATTAACGTAGAAATGTCGATCAATTTAGACTAACTGACATATAGTACAGTTTCCAACGCCACTACAAACTTTACTTAACCCCTCCCCTGTAACAAACTTTACTTAACCCCTCCCCCTGTTACAAACTTTACTTAACCCCTCCCCTGTTACAAACTTTACTTAACCCCTTCCCCTACGACAAACTTTACTTAATCACTCCCCCCTTTACAAACTTTACTGAACCCCTCCCACCTACTACAAACTTTACTTGACCCCTTCCCCCCTACCGACGTAAAATTTTGTCACCACCAATATAAACGCACGGTTAACCTAACTATCTCCAAATCACTTCTAAAACTTTTGACTGAAGACAAGCTTCCACATTTAACGACAACAGCTCTTTATAGCCTCTCTTAATAGTTGACCTTTGCCGACAGCAACAAAGAGTGACTCGTTATTTGCTTTCAAGAGGCATGCATGAAGGTAACGGAAGCTTGCAAACAATTCTTCTTTTAGAAGTACAACACTATTTTATCGCTCTGTAGGATAAATCGTAAAGTTCCAAAGTCGATCCAGAGTGTAACACGAAACTGCTTTAGTGACTAGATTTATTGCTCAGTAGAATATTTAGAACGTTCTAGAGCGTTACTTGAAGAATGCTCCAGTAACCGAAGTACATCACTAACCTTTCTAGGAATGTTTATCTTCATAACAGTGGTAATCTTGGATGTCACAAAAGATATCACTAAGACCTGATTGTCTGGGCTGTGATGTGGTGTAGATTAGCGAGGTGCACCCTAATGTCTAAGATATGTTATACATTAATTTTTTCTTTCTCCGTAAGAGATTCTAACAAATGCCGTATTTTGTTAAGAGTCCGGCATTGAGTCAAGTGAACACGGTAACCGCCATAGTCGTAAGAAGATTCCCTGTTGTTTCAGTCAGCTTTCATGCCTGCAAGACGCACACACTTCGAATGGCTGAGGCATCAACACAAGCCCTGCAATAGGCACCAGGGTGGGAAGATCACAGCCGGGCGGATTCTCAAATCTGAATCTGTGAAGTAATCGAGCCAAGATCAAGAACAGCTCAATTCGTGCCAAAGATTCTCCTAGACATGCCCGACGCCCTGCTGAAAATGGGAGGAAGCGATCCTGTTTTGGAGGAACGAACTTACCATCCTTGTCGAGGAACCGCTCGGGTATGAACTTGTCGGGGTCATCCCAGATGGCTGGGTCGTGATGAAGGGACCACAAATTCACTAATACTGTTGTACCCTTCGGAATATGATATCCTTGTAGAGTCGTATCCACTGTTGCTTTATGAGGAATTGCCAACGGCCCAATAGACGAGAGACGTAGAGTCTCAGCGATGGTGGCCTCCAGATACGGTAGATTCTTTTTGTCTCGGAGCTCCGGTAAACGATCCGGGCCAATGACCTTATCCAGCTCTTGATGTAACATCTCCTGGATCTTAGGGTTGTAAATAAGGTACAGCAGCGCCCAGCACAAGCTTGTTGCAGTGGTCTCCATTCCAGCAATAAAGACTTCCCCCATGGTCGAGACAAGTTTGTCGTCGGTAAAGGATCCACTCACAGAAGAGTCTTCTTCCTCAGCCTCTTTCCTTGCCTTCAAGAGCGCATCTGTCAGGTCTTGAGGAGCTGCAACTCTATGCGCCTCCACATGCTCTCGATAAATTCTTCCAACCAGCTCGTCTCGCTCTTTGCATTTCTCTTTCAAAAGCTGAATAGATTTGAATGGATAAAATCCAAGCCAAGGGAAAACATCCACTATGCTTCCAGCCGCAAGCATACTCACTATCGAGTTGGTGATATCTGAAAACTTTACAAACTCGGGGTCATCGGGTTCGTATCTTGAGCCAAATACCAAGGCACATATCACATTTGTCACAGCCAGTCTTATCTCTCTGGTGATATCATGGGGCTGCCCATTTCTGGAGCGGACACGTTCCATAAGCAAGTCAAACTCATTAGTGACGATGGCCTCCTGCTTTATCCCGCCTGCGCCGTACAATTTCAATGCCGAGAGGGCTAGTTTGCGATGCAGTCGCCATTCTGAAGAATAATCAGCGAACCCGATTGCCCTTCCTTTAGAATAAACTTCCGAGGAGTGAATGCTCGGACGTCCAGCAAAGTTGGACGATCTTGTAACGAGAACTTCTTGAATAGCATCTCCTCCACTAACAACTACAACGAGCTGGCTTCCAAGATACAGGCGGAATACTTTGCCATATTGTTTTTCCAATTGCATGAGGTCAACATGGCGTGAGTTGGCAGCCAGTTTGTGCGCATTTCCAATAATCGGTAGTGGAAATGGACCTGGAGGAAGATGTTTGGTGGCAATGAAATAATTCACGGTCAGTGTAACGAGAATAACCACTAAAACAAACCAAAGCAGTTGTTCAATCATGATGAATCTCGGGGCAAAGTGCTAATTTTAGCACAAGCAGAAATACCGATGGATGACCCCCTGTCGCCAGCTATTTGATACGGATATTTGGATTGGTTACCACGCGGAGAGTCTCAAATATTTCGATTTTGGAAACGTAATTCCGTCTTAGTGACGGTTAGGGAAGAAGAGTTCACTTATCCTTTTATATCTATGATTCTAGGCGTTTGGCTCCTGTATCTTCTCTAAAGAGGCGAAGGAGGGGGGGAGGGGAGGTAGGGGAAGTATCAACCAAGATGAAAAGACGAAAATTTGAAATTAAATCGGTCGGTGAACGGTGAATACAAAAGGAAATTTCATCGCTCTTTTGGCATCTTAATTGATTAATGGTTTAGGCCTTAGGTATATCAGTATCAAACTTTAGACAAATCATAAGAGCTTTAAATTTCTAGTATTCCAAAGAGGCAAACTGATACAAAGAATGACGCAATATCCTAGTCAAGTCTTGCTTTGATTTTGTACCGGACCAAGACGGTGTGTTTGCCTTTTTAAGGCAAGCCATCTGTCACTGACTGCGTTCTAGATCCCTATTATGACATCTTGTTATGAAGTTGAGATTCTCAAAACGTTCGTGTCCCTGGCTCTTGAAATACACGGCTTTATTTAATTATTTCAACTCATTGACAATCGTTGTCTCCCTTGGAGTTCTGACGCAACCGTTCAAACATATTTTTGGAAAAAATAATACTGGGATGTATATCGAACACCTCCTGTAAAACGTTCAGGGAACTTGGCAATACACTCTAAGCTTCTTTTTAACCTAAACCTATTATGGAACGTAAAGTAATTTTATTTCTGCCCCAAAATTGAAATCAATATCTTAAAATAATGATTTCCAAGGCTACACAATAAATAAATCACAACCCCTTTGTTTTCATTTTCACCTCTAACCTATGATCAGATTTTTGATTGTGTAAACTGATTTAAGGGTAGAGTAGACGACCCTCAAAAGGTGGTAAAACGGTTGCTTTACTGCAGTTATGTTGAGGATACTTGGATAATGCCCTTTGCATCTTGAGGCCTTTTCTTAAATAATTATGAGAGGCTGCGTGACCTTGCATTCCGCGGTTCATGTGATGCGTGGCTGAATTAATTCGTTTCTTAAAGAACAAGCAGTGTAAAAATTAGTCTACAAAGAGCTTCTACGTAATGAAAGTGGTAGGATTGTCTGTTGGTTGATATGTATAACATGAGGATGTCAACCATATGGTTGTCTCTTGAGTCTCCCCGAAGAGATTGTGACATGAATGCCCAATATCGATCATCATAAATTTTCATTTAGACAACTTGACAAAGAGGCTAACTACGGGTCAAAAGGTATTCTATTGTACGAAATATTAAATTTCAATTGCAAATTTCGCCGTAGTTGAAAAATGTAACAAAACAAACTATAAATAGCACTTCAACCACAAATTCGCAACTGCTGCCATGCTTGAAGAGCTGATTTGGTTTGTTTTGGTGGCAATTCTCGTTGTGCTGTTCGTGAATCATTTCACTGCCTCAAGAAAACTGCCCCCTGGTCCTTTTCCACTACCGATTATTGGAAATGTACACAAACTTGCTGCTAAGTCACGCCATATTGACCTCATGCGATTGGAAAAACAATATGGCAATGTATTCCGCCTGTATCTTGGAAGCCAGCTCGTTATAGTTGTCAGTGGTGGAGATGCCCTTCAAGAAGTTCTTGTCCACAAATCGGCCGACTTCGCTGGACGTCCGAGTTTCTTCACCGCAGATGTCTTCTCAAAGGGATTGGCGATCGTTCTGGCGGATTATTCATCGGAATGGCGACTGCATCGCAAAGTCACCGTCTCAGCACTTAAAATGTACAGTGCACGCGGAGGAAAGCCAGAGTCCATCATCACTAACGAGTTCGACTTTCTCTTGAAACGAGTCCGCGCCCGAAGCGGACAGCCTCACGATATCACCAGAGAGATACAACTGGCTGTGACAAATGTGATATGTGCCTTGGTGTTTGGCTCAAGATACGAACTAGATGACCCTGAGTTTACAAATTTCTTGGATATTATGCACGCCATAGAAAACACGATTGCTTCTGGAAGCATAGTGGATGTTTTCCCTTGGCTCAGATTTTATCCATTCAAATCCATTCAGCTTTTGAGAGAGAAATGCAAAGAGCGAGACGAGCTGGTCGGAAGAATTTATCGAGAGCATGTGGAGGCGAATAGAGTTGCAGCTCCTCAAGACCTGACAGATACGCTATTGAAGGCGAGGAAACAGGCTGAAGACGAAGACTCATCTGTTACGGGATCCTTAACCGACGAGAGGCTCATCATGACTATAGGGGAAGTCTTCTTGGCCGGAATAGATACCACTGCAAGCACCCTGTGTTGGGCGCTGTTGTACCTTATTCACAATAATGAGATCCAGGAGAGGTTACACCAAGAGCTGGATAAAGTCATTGGCCCAGATCGTTTACCGAAACTGCAGGACAAGAAGAATCTACCGTATCTGGAGGCCACCATCGCTGAGACTCTACGTCTCTCGTCTCTGGCGCCCTTATCAGCTCCTCATAAAGCAACAGTGGATACGACTTTACAAGGATATCATATTCCGAAGGGTACAACAGTATTAGTTAATCTGTGGTCCCTTCACCACGATCCAGCAATCTGGGATAACCCCGACAAGTTTATGCCCGAGCGGTTCCTCGACAAGGATGGTAAGTTCGTTCCTCCAAAACAGGATCGCTTCCTCCCATTTTCGGCAGGGCGTCGGTCATGCCTGGGGGAATCGTTGGCACGTATTGAACTATTCTTGATCTTGGCACAATTATTGCACAGCTTTAGATTTGAGAATCCGCCCGGCTACGATCTTCCCACCCTGAAGCCCAACACGGGAGCTTTGTTGACACCACAGCCATTTAAAGTGTGTGCTACCTTCAGACACGATGACTAAAAGATCATAAAGTTTGTTTGACTCCACTCTGAATTAAAGGACGTTTGTTATTCTTCTTACATCTCTAACTCTTAGAGCTTTCTTGTAGAATACAAATGATCAGTGCTTTATCTGGATTCACTTTTGCTTTTGATGTATCGATTTTCAAGTTTACGGAAAAAAAAAGTATTCTCGTATGTCATTGTAAAAAGGGCGCTTAATGAAGGTTGTCTCCTTACAAAAAGAGCCAGAAAGTGATTAAATCCAATAAATCTATTGTTGTGTTTGTCAATTGTTAAAGTTCCCCTTGACAAGTGTATTCGTAATCAGTCAACGTTTTTTCTTGGCTTTTAAGACATGTACCTTTGCATTTCGAAATTACGGTGTTCCTCCTTAGGTCATGGTAAAATCAGTTATCCAAAAAAAACATGGCAATATGATAGGACAAGAGAATATTAACTGTGATATTCTCTTGGGTAAGAATACTGTACGTTTCGTTTCTTCCACAAAACAAATCTTTGTAACATCTGTGTAATGGAAGGATTTCGCAAAACCTTCATAATGATTCATAATGGTGTCTTATCGAAAACACAAAACTATTTGTCAACTTCTTTGCGCGATAGCAGGTGCCGTCGCTTAAAGAGATCTGTATGAGACAGAAAGCGGTTAATTACAAGACGAGATCGCTTAATAGAGGAGTAGTAGTCTTGAAGAGAGAGTTGACTTGAATTATCGACGACATCAGCAGGTTATCCATTAGTCCAAGTACGTAAGATGCTTTGGATGCTTTAACGTTCCCAAGATCTGATTGTCAATCCTCCTCTCCAGTTGCTACACATTTCCTTGTAAATAGGTGACAAGAATTTGGTATTAGATCAAGATAGCAACTTCTCCCTGATAAATGTAAGTATTCTCATTACCTGTTTGCTAGATAGTGAGTGGATATTTAAGAAGGAAGTTGCATGTTAATCACTTCTAGGAGTTAACCCTTTAAACGGATGAACCGCGTATTTAAAGAGCCTGTGTCAAATTTTTTTGAAGCATGATGTAGGGTAAGCCAAGTATCACGCGTTTCTTTGTGAATAAGTCACTGGTTTCATTTGCATAAGCAAATTGATAAACGCACACCAAAGGCCCTTCAGTCTTTTCGTTAAATACTTATAACCTTGCTCCAAAAGGAGTACCTGAAAGACAGAGCTAATTGGTTTTTCTAAGAGAACTATTCAGCACATGCACAGTGAACATTACTTGTGGTAGATAAAGGGTATTCTCCGTATGTACTTTTGCATTTATTCACCTCATCACCACACTTAAGGGGCCGGTTATTTAAACAAAGTCCAGCCGCTGTTCCAAAAAACCGCGGCCTAGACAATCTTCGAGTAACTGAATCTTTTATTGGAACATTCATTTTTGAGAACAGTCTCAAGAGGGCCGTAAGCTAAAAGTGGAAGGATTATCATTTAATTTAATCAACCCTCTTCTGGAGAAAGACTGAGGCCCACTGACTGCGTAAAACCGTGTTTTGGGTTAGACCTCGTGGAAATAACGGGGCTATGGAGGTATGCGGCGTGTTCTCCGCTGTTTCTGCTCGTACACAAAGCTAGAGACAAAGTTTCAAAGCATCCTAAGTAGCTCAAATGAGTGCGAAATAAAGAATAACCAATACCGCCTCTGACCATCATTTAATACCAAAATTTGGCGCGATGATTAAAATATTTAAAAAAATACAGAATCAGGAAATTGTTCAAGAGATTATCTCACGGTTCAAATAGTAAACGAAAACTAACGTATCTGCAGAGTTATTCATCAACTCTTGGTAATAGAACTGAAATTTTTTGAACATATTCAAAATAATGAAATTGATGTTACTAATGTCAGAAATGCAGTATTCGATTAATGTAAACATTGTAAATAGTGTAATAATTATGGGATTTCAATGTACGCAGCTCATTGAAGTAGTGTAACTTATGGAATGTGTTGTTAGGAAATACGTGTAAATAACGTGTTGTAATAGAGTTTATGTATCGCAAGCAATATATGTCGTAAATAAAGATTTGTATTGGAAAAAAAGTATCGGTAAAATCAACAGCCATTGACTTTACTATATATATATGTACAGTGAAACCTTCCATGTTTCGACAAGAGAATATAGACCGTTTTGAAGTACGTTCTCTTGGCTTCATCATGAGTCAGGCATTCTTGAGATGAAAAGTTTCTCACTGAATGCAATGGAAATACATAGCTAATATACCACACAATGGTTTAACCCTGCTGTCAAATAGTTTGTCAACCTTTATACAAACAAGAAACACACGAACTATTTTTCTTTTCATGACTTGGAATGTGTGACATCTCTTCTTTTCAGAGCACAGACTTTAAACGGTTGTGGTTGCAGAACGATTCCTACGATGGGTTCAACGGATGGAAGATCAAATCCGGGCGGATTCTCAAACCTGAAGTTGTGCAACAAACGCGCAAGGACCAGAAAAAGCTCAATCCGTGCCAAAGGCTCTCCTAAGCAGGCACGGCGCCCCGCAGAAAAGGGCAGGAAACGGTCAAATGATGGTGCAGCGAAATTGCCATTTTCATCAAGAAATCTTTCAGGCCTGAAGCTGTATGGTTCCTCCCAGATATCCGGATCGTGGTGAATGGACCATAGATTAGTTAAAACTGTGGTTCCCTTTGGAACACAGTATCCTTGCAGAGAGGTGTCTACTGTTGCCTTATGAGGAACTGACAAAGGTACAAGAGAGGAGATGCGCAGAGTTTCTGTAATGGTCGCCTCTACGTACGGAAGATTCTTCTTGTCTCCTAGTTCTGGCAAACGATCCGGGCCAATGACGTGATCCAGCTCTTGATGCAACATCTGCTGGACCTCAGGGTTGTGAATCAAGTGTATCAGTGCCCAACACAAGGTGCTTGCAGTGGTCTCCATTCCAGCAATAAAGATGTCGCTCATGGTCATAATTAGGTGTTCGTCAGAGAGGAATCCTTTGACAGCGGAGTCTTCGTCCTCAGCTTCCTTTCTTGCCTTCAATAACGAATCTGTCAGGTCTTGTGGATGTAACACTCTGTTCGCCTCCACATGTTCAACAAATTTCTTTCCTAGAAGCTCATCTCGTTCCTTACATTTTTCCCTTAGATTCTGAAGAGACTTAAATGGGATCCAACCGAGCCAAGGAAAAACGTCCACAATGCTCCCAGCCGCGACCATCTTCGCCAAAGCATTGGTGATGTCTAAGAACTTTGTGAACTCCGGCTCGTCAAGTTCGAATCTCGAACCGAACACTACAGCACAAACCACATTCGTCACAGCCAGTCGTATCTCTCTTGTGATGTCATGTGGTTGACCATTTCTGGCATGGACCCTTTTTAACAGCAGATCAAACTCTTCATTGATTACGGATCCTTGGTTTATTCTGTTGTTGCTGTACATCTTGAGCGCAGAGACAGCAATCTTGCGATGCAGTCGCCATTCCGGAGAATAATCTGCCAGCGCGATTGCCTTTCCCTTTGAATAAACCTGTGAGGTGTATAGATTCGGACGTCCAGCGAAATCGGCCGATTTTGTGACGAGAACTTCTTTCAGCGCTTCTCCACCGCTAACGATTACCACGAGCTGATTACCGAGATACAAACGAAATACTTTGCCGTACTGTTTTTCAAGTTTCATAAGGTCAATATGGCGTGAATCAGCGGCCAATTTGTGCGCATTACCTATGATCGGGAGCGGAAATGGTCCGGGTGGAAGATTTTTGTTGGCAGTAAAGTGATCCAAGATCAATTTAACAACGATTACTGCTAGAAAGACCCATGCCAGCTCTTCCAACATGGTTGCACTTGCGATTCAAGAGTGGTGTTGTTGAACATGGACTTGTAGAATAATTAAGCGGGTATGTTGTATATTACTTTAATTTGTTTTGTTGGCATAGAGGTGTTTGGCCAATTATCACCAAACTTGACTCTTGGGACAACTTAAGGAAAGTTTACATCATACCAAATAATTGATGAGTTTGAATATTGCTTTGCTTCTGTCTAATTCTTTTTAATGTTCACGATCATTCACCACGTATCTATACATCCATATCAATATATCTGTAAATAAATATATTGAAATATAGAAATATGTAAATAGACATATACAAGAGCACAAAACATTTTTAAAGCTTGTCATTGTGTCAGCATTTGCATCTGACTGAAAAAGGTTTCACCATCGAATGCAATTAAAAAAAACCTAAATTTTTTTTTCAGATAACTTAGGGAAGCGTTGAATGATTACAATGTAAACTGAAAAACCAAAGTCAATATATAACTGGTAGAAGTTTTGATGGATTCTATTCATATTCAAATTTTGGTGCCAAAATGCGTTCATTGTCGGCTACTAAAAAGAACATAACAAAGCGATAACACAATGCAACGTCCCTTGTTGTTTTGCCGCGAAAGCAGATACCAGTTCCCTATGCCAACCGTGGCAGGAGAAACGACTGGATCACTAGTACATTTTTATTCTTCATTAGGATGCAATGTTCTTCATCCAGGTTATGCTTTAATTTCAATTTAGCTTAGGATGGTTGAATGGAAGGCATGAAATTTTTTATACATTGCAAAGAAAAGATATTAAATTCATTTCTATTTTAAATTATTTCTGTCCTCTTAAGAATTATTCTATCAATGATCTTGTCTATATCCTCATTTGATTTTCGAGAATTGCAGTATTAAATGGATGTTCGCATGGTACTTATTGGGGAAACAAGGGGTCAGCTAGGATTGTTTTCTTTTATTAACCCCAAGTGGGACCACAAACCCCAATTAATGAGCACAGCAGCTGTTCAAATAATTTTGCTTTGGATTAAACCTCTTGATTTTCGAGAATTGCAGTATTAAATGGATGTTCGCATGGTACTTATTGGGGAAACAAGGGGTCAGCTAGGATTGTTTTCTTTTATTAACCCCAAGTGGGACCACAAACCCCAATTAATGAGCACAGCAGCTGTTCAAATAATTTTGCTTTGGATTAAACCTCTTTGCAATTATTACATCTACAAAAGTGGATCATTTTAAGAGGCCTAAAATTTTCCTTCGAATATTAATGTTCTAAAATGGTCTACCAATAAATTTTCAAGCTCAAATAGCCCTTTCGATAGCATGCTGGTGCACGAACAAATTTTACAGTTGCTCGCATGAATGGTTGGTTTCCTGTTTGCATGAAATTACGTTCGTGTAACTAGGGGTTTGAAGGTTTCACGCACAAAACTGTAGTTTTTCCTTGCGCCGAATTAGCCGTATATCCCAATTATTTTAAAAACGAAGACGAAATAACGAAAAACGGCGAGAAATTAAACAAGGATCATCGCCATAGAACATGGCCATTTAAAATTGTGAAAATCGTGCATGACAATCGTAATCACTGCAAATTAGAACAGAGTGCTCTAACACTCGCAAGGAACATTCTGTGCCCCTATTGTTCATTAAAATCTCTCAATGGAAATCCATAAATGTTGGTATGACTGCTATCAATTTTTATCACTTATCGATTTTATAGATTGGTCAGGTAGACGTGAATGTGAGAGAAAATGAATTGCTATTTACCATGTCGGTTACTACATTACAGAGATTACTAAGCAACTCGCACCGTTAATCTGTTTGTTTATTTCCATATTGAACAATGCCATTGCAACAAAAAAGAGTCAAATGGACGTTTTCCTCAGGTATCCAACACTAACTATCTCTGGGGAGATTTCATGCACTTTGCGCTAAAAATATTTTTAGGAATATCTTTCACAGGCATTTTCCAAATTCCTGTTAGTAGATCCACCCACAAAAGAACCCCTGGTTTTATTGAATTCAACGCAAGCGAACATCACAAAATTGGCTCCGATCCATTCCAGTCTACTACAGCATTTTTCCATCTGCAGAGAAAGTGGCAAATATAATTTCTTTGGTGAACTATATCGGATTCGTAATTTATTACAGACGTTGTAGGAATGGCTATGGTCCAAAGTCGATTGTTTGTCCTTTAGCACGAATTAAATGTAAGCAATCAAAATAGTACTGAAGAATTGGAAGGGCTGGGACAGACTTCAGTTGCACTTGTCCACATAAAGGGTATAGGGTCGCCTATAGGAACATCCACCCCTGGTTAGGCTGGCATTCAGCAAAGACGTGAAAATGTTTTGTATTACATTCAGAAGGATAGTTTAAAAAATCTTACTTGAAGTTTTTTTTTTTTTTTTTTTGCAAGGCGTCATTTTGAAACGATCCAGGCCTTTAGGAAAATGCTCGCAAAAGACTGAGGTTTGAACAAGCTTTCTTCACCCTTGCATTTGTTCCGCGTGTTTTTCTTTGCAACGCTAAATTCTAACTGAGCACCTGGGCAGGCTTTCACAACAAAACAAATTCTCTCTTAAACCACTATGATTTACAAACCTTGTTCTAATGCAGTGTTCTAGTGGAGGGACAAGATCGGTGTCTTTGTAATCAGGACATTCCCTTGTTGTATCTAGTTAACGCCAAATAAATAGATTTAAGTATGAACATGAGTACTATGCCAAATCTATTGTTAAAATGGCTTACATTTATAATATAATGACTTGATTGATTGTGGGAACCACCGGTAAGAGTCAAACATCATTCACCGAGCAAATCTCAACAATATTTCACCCTGAAAATATTTCGAGTCCACAGACCTTCTCCTCGTAACTGCCAAAACAGTTTTCACATCATAGCGTAACTTAGCCAGTTATATTCTGAGAGGGCAACACTGCTAAAACCAGTGTGACGCCATATATATTCTCTGTTCTTATTTTCATTGAATGTATTAAGGTCGAATAAGTAATTCAGGATTACTTTTGTTTCCCGCTCTGTGATTGGTCAAGGAATAACGCTTCACGCCCATTTTGAACCAATCAGATGCCAAACAAAAACAAATCGCGCCCTCGTCACCCGCATTTCTGCGACTATGCTTGAGGCACGAGTTTCATTACCTTGACGTTTCTGTAAGCTGATTTTACATATGACGACCTTACCTATTGTTAGTTTGATTTCCTCCTCTTGGCGGGCCAGACCGTCATAGTAATAAAGATCAAACTTCTTTTCTAACTTCCTACACAGCAAAAAAGAAAAATCATTAAAATTTGTTATTAGCTAACTTGTATTACCACGAAAGGCTTGGATTGTACACAGTCTCTTCGTTATTTTATCGGTTTTCCACCCAGACCTTCCAAGTTTTATCGAAGCACGCCATTTTCAATCATTTGTTAAGGGAATAGAAATTGAAACTCGTGTAAAAACGCTACAGCAGAGCCCTACTCAGTTGAACTGTCAAGGCAAATGTAAAACAGGGTTATTTGGTATTATCAACTGAGTTTCGAGCGTTATCCATTCGCCATTCGCTCTAACGAAGGGCTAACGCTCGAAACATCAGCTTTTAAACTCTTCAGTTACGGTGGCCTATTTACATCATCAACTCAGTTGATATACCAAATTACCTTGTTATACTCTCCCAATGACGCAGCAGCACAGTTTCTTTAGAACCTTACCCCCTTCATTCTATTGGAAAACAGTCCGGAAGACTGAGAGAGTTCGAGTTAGTTCATTTTACTTCTCTGCGAAGTGCGCTTCAAGGAAAATTGCGCGAATTCCGAGTCATCCAAATTCGAGTTCGCGAGGTTCCACAGTACAACGATGAGTACGAAAGTAAGAGAAAAAGTCAAGTTGATAGACTTAAATCACGACATTACTATCCCCTGCCGAATTTAATGCAAAAATGAAATGTTCTTATAGCCAGGTAACAAATGCCGATCCTCAATTAACACATCGTGTTAAAAGGAACAAGTACCTACCAATCATCCAAGAGGTTTCTGTCCACAGAGAACAGTACACTGAAGTGACTCTCGCTGCAGATGACCCAGATGGGATACTTGGGGCTCTTGAAGTTGATACCAACCTTAAAATGAGACAAAAAGAAACAATCTTTCAGCAGCATGATCATCTCTTCATTGATCCTTTGAGCCCAAAGTGTAACCAGATTTTAGTTTCTCTTTACAAAAAAAACAATACATTATTACATGCCACGGTAACAAGAATGAAGGAAGTGATCTCTGAATAGAAACTGCTCTTGTCTGTGACAAATTCTAACCACAGTTGTTACAAGAAAATGTATGAAGACTTCTAAGGAGACTTCATAGGTAGACTCTGGGGCTTAGAGAATTAGAAGAACTTCTTGACGATTATTAAAGGACTCTTTGTACGGTACAAAGCTACCGCAGACTCTACCGAGATACAATATATTGGTTGGGTAAGATAAGAAAAGATGAATGAGCTGGTAATGCACCGAGAAAAGACAAGGATGACGGAGATTGGATAAGATCAAAACGGAAGCCCGATGGGGAACTCAACAAATAAAACTTACCAACAATATTTGGTTACAATATTTGATCTGCCTTACAACATGAAACGTTCAAAGACAACGTGACTAAAATGTAGCCCACCTCGCATGACTTGTAGTGTTCAAATAGCGACAGAAGTCCAATGTCGCTTTGTTTTTCTATTCCTTTAAATACATTCTAAGAAAAAGGAATAATTTAAAAGGAGAATTTAGAAAAAGACAAAAATTGATTTTACAATTACAGTCCTCAATAACTGAACTATGAAATTGTGCACCATGCAAAGAAAAAGAAAAATGATGCATCCGAGTGTTCACCTAGGTTACACATCCCCCCCACTCCCCCTACACGGTTTCTCTCCCCCCCCCCCAAAAAAAAGATTTTTCTCTATACTGATCTAGGTTGAACAACTTTCGTAACCAAAACGTATTAGTGAAGTTACAAACGTCACCTTCTTTGCCCCTCCAGTGTCGATCTCCATAATGTTGTCAAATGTGTTGGATGTTGCTTTGCCAGTGACAATTAGGTTGACCATTTCCTTAAATGAGAGGATGTCAATAAGACAAAGTGAAGTATACTAGGCCAGCGGTATAGCATAAAGGAAAAGTATATCCAGGAACTTTGCGCGTAGAAAGCAGGCAGAAAAGTGAGCGAGACTGTAGTTAGTGTGTTTGCGTTCATCAAGCTACTGTCTTTGAAGCCTTTGTGGCGTGCCTTTGTGGCTTAAAACACACAAATCCAATCATGAAGATGACAGAACACGAACAACAATCGCAAACGTCTAAACGATTAAAAGACAGTCGTACATCGTGCTTCCAGTTTGTCACAACCAAGAGGTTTCATAGGAGTTATATACATCCATACAAGCCAGAATATTACGATGTTTAAAGAGCGGGTAACTTTTTTGATAAAGTTCAAAAGAAAATGGTAAGTAAAAAGAATACCTGCAATTTGCTTTCGACAAGTCTCAAGATTTCTTTTCCCCATTTTTCCTTCCTTTTGCAATTATTTTCGTAAATTTCGCGTAACGACGTCTAGTTCTTCCACTTCCCTTTCAAATTTTGCGCGGGAAACTAGTGCGCGGCTGGCCAAAACTACCTCATTTGCGCATGCGTTACGTTTGACTGCTGTATTCACGCGAGGAAAACAGTCTCTCTCAACTTGATGCTCTATTCAAGGCAATCTAATTATGACTAACCTGCGTACAATAACCGTGGGCTCCCATCAGAGTATTTGTTGGTTCATCCATATCTGAGATTACCCTACGAAAAGACGAATACTATAACTTATACCCCATTCACACCAGCAAAGCATGTTTTGTTAAACTGGTTTTCATTGAATGAAAATTATAAACAGAGAACTGAAAAACTTGATTTTCCATTGGATTCAAGTACTTGCTAACTTGCATTTCCAATGTGCTACATTCAAGTCAAAAATATTCGGCTAAATAGTTTCTATGAAGAAAAAAAAAATTAAACTGTGTTTAACAAAACAACTTTTAAACATGTTTAAGCTTTGGTGTGAATGGGGCATTAGTCAGCTAAACAAGTGAGCCATAAATTTCGAAAGAAAAACCGAGAAAACACACGTACTTTTGAATTGATCTTGACAATATTGCGGAATATAACAACAAAATACACCCACTGCTTTTGTCAGATTCAAACTGAAAAGTAAAACAAAAAACATGGCTGTAAGAAACCCAGCAAGAACTGTATTTTCCATTATTTTTATCACGACTTTTAACTTAATGTCTCATCAGCTTAAAGAACTGAGCACTCGCTAAGGAAATATATGGAATGCATATACCACATCACAAATGATACACGACACCACAAGTGTAGATTGTGCTATTTTTTTCTAAATTCATGAGGAATGAATCTCGAAAAATTTTTCCTAGGCTTTTTAAGCTCATCATCTGCAATCTGTTGCTATATTTTCCATTCCTGGCCAATATTGGCCATCATTAGACATCCTTGGCCATCCCTGTTCTTTCTTGGTTTAGAAGGAGTTGATTGCTTAACAAACCACGCTAAGGACACCTTTAAGACATTCAAGGCTACCTACATGCATGTAACTCTTAGAATTCTAAACTTATGTTCTTGCCTCGAGCTTCAAAAATATATTGAGCCATTAATAGCATTTAAGGTTTCAAAACACTGTAAATATACATCTACAAATGGCTCGCAAGTTACTGCGTGCCGTCTTTCCCGGTCTTTGCAGATAAATTTTAAAACGTAACAAACCTTACCTGAGTTATGTTTTGGGAGAGAAAGCTGTGAAGACTTTCCGAAGACTTGAAATCATGTAAAACAAGCTAAAGAGATTGATGATAGGTAAAGCACACCATCATTAAATTCATAAACAGCTGACATTGCAAAATATCAATTTATTTACCTACAACTTGGATCAAAAAGTTCTTATCATCTTTAATGAAAAGAATGTATCTATCACTAACCAAAAATTCCGACGAATAGGTCATTTTACAGTTGTGTATCTAGTTGCCAAGCCTTTGATTTGGAGTGAGGCTGAAGGTGACCTTGTTGTGTTAGAGACCAGTATTCAATTAGCATGATAACAAAGTAATTTGCATTTGAAAAGCAGCAAGGTTTGTATCATAACAAGGTCACCCTTAGCCTCATTCCTGTTCAAAGGCTTGGCAACCAAGCACACAACTGTAAAATGGACTATTAGCCTCTTGAAGAAAATATAATACTTACTGCTTCTGTCAGCTGGTCAGGTTTATATCTTCCAGCACCGAAAAAGTTGGATCCACCGGTAGGTCTTTTAGAGAGCAAAATAATTAAAAGTCGCGTTATAGATATTCATAAGTCAATTTTGCAGAACACAAAGTCCACTTAAATAAACAATAAACCACAGAACAGACATTTAAACTAAACTGCTATATATCAGAACTAGAGTAAGAGTCTGTATCTCTCTAAGTAGTATTCTGTGGTCGTTAACGGTGCATCGCAATTCAAATTAGCCTGTGATCTCCAGGCTCTCTCCTTATTCACCTCGATCATGAATTTACAAATTCTTAAACAGGAGCAATTTCAGTTGAGCGCTGGACATGGTGCAAGATTCTAGGCTTTCAATAACTTTCTCCTTAGGCGGCTTCCGACGGTGTAATAGTCTGCTGCGCCCGAAAAAGGGGTAGCAAGGCGTAACCCAAACACGGGAGCCTATTATGGCAGCTACAAGGGAGAATTAACATTCAGTTCTTGGGGGTTTGAGGGTTAATGCTGCTTAACTCACAAAGCCACGGTAGCTGTTTTGTTGTTTCCTGCCCTCCAAAGAATTTCACTCAGAGCAGACGTTAGAGCTTTTGTTCTCTCTCGGGACGAAGGTTGGAGTTTCCTGTCGACAACAACAGAGTGCTCAGACACATATCAATATATATGGCAATATCTTGCCACAGACACATACACCAGAGCCTACCAAAAGTGCAAGTGCCGACGAAAAGAGCGAACAGTGCTTACTTCTTTCTGTCGCCCTTCTTTCCTCCGAACAGCAAATGTTTTAGGACAAATCCTTGAACAGCAGCAAGAACACCACACGGTCCACCCTACATGGAGTGAAATAATCACATCACACTGACTAACGCATCACGTATCACGTATTTAGTATCACGCAGTGCGCATCACATATCACGAATCAAATATCACAAATCTGGCAAGTCATCCCGTTTTTGATTTCTTCTCCTCGTTCACGAGATGTTGGTCCATAGCGGGATTTCATCTCCTCTTAAGAGGAAGTAAGACCAAATGACAAAAACAACAAGACTCACCACAAAAGCGACGTTTTCATTACCTTCAGTTGAACAATTCCGTACTCTAGTTGATAAAGGTCACAGAAAGAAAAGCTCTGATTCCTCCATTCTGGATTAAAGCTTGCTGTAGCAGTTCCAAAGATAAGATTTTTCAAACCCTGATTAAAAAAAAAAGAGATAAAATATAGTATGAACAAAAAACAAACAAACAATCCAGAATCATTTCAAGCGGTGAATATTACCTGCTTTGACTTACCATGGCAATTTCTAGCGATATAGGCTTACTCTGAACATCAACTGAGGCAATCTTCTTTGGACCTGAGACAAAAAATGCGTATGTATAAGCAAAATCACACATTCAATTTGTAGAATGTTATGATAACAATGATAAGAGCTTCCCATTTTATTGTAATGATAGTAACAACAGTGCTTAAGTTGACATTATGTTGTTTAGTTCCACTTAATGTCCCTCAAATCCGCTCTTTCTTCTTTTATTGGAAGGAAAACTTGAGGTTTCTATTGGCAGAATATCGACAAGAAGTGAAGTACCACTGATAACAACTGTCCCAACTAAGAAAAATCCCAAAAAAGAGGAAAACTCTGTGTAAAGCACAGTTATGCAAGGTTGATTAAGATGTTTAAAAGTAGGGGTAAATGGTCATAAATGGCTTTCACTAAAAAATGCCATAAAATTTATATGTTTACAATGTATACCTACCTAATGACAACTGCGCAAGTTCCTGATCAAGATCCTCATCAACATCTTCAAACACCAGATCACTACTTTTAGCCTGAGCAAAAAATAATAATGATGATTGTTACAAAAATGATTTGTGGAGTGCAAATGATCCTTTGACCCTTTTTAAAACTCCTAAGTTCTCATAAGTAACTCTCCTTACTGTCTGCCATACAGGTCTTGTGATGTTTGATAGGAGAATTTGGTATTGGATCAACTTATGATCCCTTAATTGATATTTTTCTTCATTCTAATCACTTGTCTGCTTGATATTGTAATGATATTGTAATGATATTGTAATGATATTGTAATGATATTGTAATGATATTGTAATGATATTGTAATGATATTGTAATGATATTGTAATGATATTGTAATGATATTGTAATGATATTGTAATGATATTGTAATGATATTGTAATGATATTGTAATGATATTGTAATGATATTGTAATGATATTGTAATGATATTGTAATGATATTGTAATGATATTGTAATGATATTGTAATGATATTGTAATGATATTGTAATGATATTGTAATGATATTGTAATGATATTGTAAGGTGAAATTCTGTCTTGGTCACTCATGGGAGTTAAAGGGTTAAGTTATCATTCCTGTCATGGAATACTATGACAATATTTGTAGCTTGTGAGCAGACCCTCATTACTTATTAATTCTTCAGCATGAACGTTTACGGAGAAAATTATGAGGCATTGAGCTACTTTGAGCAGTACGAGGTCTCAGCCAGACTCCTGGCAAACCCTTCCCTGACTCATCTCAAATCTTCCCATAGGAGAAGAAACACACATCCTGCAATGGGGGGTTGGGGGGCTGCCAGCACACTACAATATTCATGACCATATCTATTGCTCAGTCGATACCTTAAACAGACACAGAGACACAGAGACACAGACAATGCAGTTACCTTATGCACCTTGAAGTTAGATGGAGGCTGGTTTCTGCAATAGAAAAAAGCAACATTTCTCATCAACACAGACCACAATTGATTCTTTAGCTATTCGACCACTATATCAAGAAGAAAATTACTGTTACAGTTAAAGTAGTACCTTGTTGAACTCCTATGAGATGTAGTTTTTCTTGATTCCCTTGGAGAAATGTCTCCTCTGAAATGCAGCATATTAAGGCCATATTATTCAGTGGAGAATTTTACAAGATAATATATAAACCATTTAACCTCTAAGAGTGAATAGCTTTTAATTCCTCCATATTTACTCCTGAATCAAACATTAAGGTCATGAGAATAAAGGAAATGATCACCAGCGAAAGAAACTCTTGATTGTTGCACAAATTCTCCCTGTCAGCAACTTAGGAAATGTATGGAGAACTGTATAGAGAAAGTGCATACTGATGTCAGGATGTAGAGGGTTCAGTAAAAAGGTGTGGCATACTTAGACATGGTGCAGCTGTGGTTAGAGAGACAGAGAAGAAAGAAAGGGACTTCCAAGAAAGTGGGAATAAAGGGATGGATTGACAGAAAGAGGAAGAAAAAAAGGGTGAGGAGATGGGGGTTTTGAACAGGCCTGTGTACTTACAGTTGGTGGCTATCTTTGCCACTTTGATCAATAGAAAAATCCTGTGACCTAGGAAGCCTATCAATCTAGACAAGAGAAAAACAATCACATGTCTAATCACTTATATAGTAGCAGATCTAGGGAGGGGCCTAGGAGGCCTGGGCTGCAGAATGGAGAAAAACCAGCAGGAAAGCAACAAAAAACTAGGCCCCCCTTTAGCTCAAGGTGAGTATTAGACAAGTAAATAAATAGTCTAGAATCAGCTCCTCTTTTTTGCAACAGTTACTACATAAAATGTATTTTAAAGGTAGACTAAAATTATAAAGTTATTGCAGAAAATGGAAACTGATTCAGGATTTGTAAAATATTTTATATAATTGCCAACCAGGTACAGATTTGGTGCTACAATAGGCTGAGCTATGAAGCCACATAAAGTAAGTATTATCCTTAATGACTGAAATAATATTTAAATAGTTGTATTATACTTCATTATTACAATTATGGTAAATTAACCCTTTAACTCCTAAGATCTCATTGCTAATTCTCCTTACTGTCAGCCATATAGTTCTTGTGATGTTAGTTTGGAGAATTTGATATTAGATCAACTAATAATCCCCCAAATTAATATTTTTCTTTATTCTCATCACTTGTCTGCTTGATATTGTATTGATGTTGTAAGGAGAAATTCTGTCTTGGTCACCTATGGGAGTTAAAGGGTTAAAATGAAAGTAGACAGCTTATGAGGGCAGACTGTACAGCTTTGCATGAAGTCAAGGTAACTAAATTTAAGTTTAATATTGTTCAAAACCCCAGACTACCAACGGCTACAAATCTATCAGAGAATCAGAGCACAATATTTGAACTTGGTACAGAAAGATCTCAAATTGTTACATATACATATATACAGATAACACCTCCTGGATAGGAAAACACTTCTGTTAGTAATAAATTCTTTTGTCTTTAGTAAACTCCAATATTGTTCAACTGTCTGGAGTAATACCAGCAGCAGCAATATTGACAAGTTACAAAAAGTCCAAAACTTTGCCGGGCGAATTATTCTGGGACTAAGAAAGTATGACCATATTTCGGATGGGTTGCGATCGTTGAAATGGCTTCCTATTAGAGAGAAACTCATTCTAAATGACGCTACTATGATGCACAAATGTATTAACAAGCTTGTTCCAGACTATCTTGCTGATATGTTTAAATCACGTTCTCAAGTCCATAATAGACAAACTCGATCATCTGGTGCCTTGGATATACCTTTATGTCGCCTGTCAACAGGGCAGCGGTCCTTTGCTTTCAGAGGAGCCAAACTCTGGAACTCCTTGAACGATAACATTAAGTCTTTAAAATGCCCCAGGAATTTTAGACGTCATCTTGCAAACGTTTTATTAAGTTGATATATTATATTATTGATATATATTTTGTAATTATAATATTATTGTATTTACATTCTCAATTAATTTATATATTTGTATTTTTTTTTTCTATTGAGCTGAAAAGCCCACTTAGGGAGCATCAATAAAGTATATGTATGTATATACATTGTACTTACATGATTATCTTGAGCATCCAGTTTTTGGGTCTGTGCAACGTTTTGCTCTTTACTTACTTCATCATCTCCAAACAAGCTTCCATTGTTCAGAGCTGATAGACTGCTGCTAAGTCTCCCACTACCAGGACGCAGCCTCAAGTCTCTTTTACCCGCTAAACCTGAGCTAATCACTGGTCCTCCTGTGGCATGAGGCCTCCTTTTACTCTTGAGTTTTGCCTTTGGATCACTTGACATTGTAGGTGTAGTCATTGAGGGTTCTGAGAAACCACTAGAACCTGTTAAAACAGGTGAATTTGCACTCCCTCCCATGCTGTATGATTGATTAGAATTCACTTTTGTCCTTAAATCATTGGTTAGCAAGCTTGGTTTAGTAGTTGGAGTGTTTCGTGCTGGTTTTTCCAGCTGTTTCAAGAGATCGTCATAATCTTTTCTGTCATCTTCATCATCAAGTTTGTCACTTTGATTCAGAATATCACTGTTTGATGGCTGCGCCACTGTTTTGTTTCTTGAATCTTTTCTGGCTTCCCTAAAAATGAAAACAAAATTTGAATGAACAAGTGAGAATAGTCCTTAGAAGAATAAAGAGGTAAGTTTCTAATTTAAAAGAAACTGTGGTGCTGTATCATCAGTGTAGAGGGGATTATGTCTTAATAGTGGCAACCATAACACATCATATGATCCAACATAGCAACAGAGAGAGAGAATTCCAGTTTCTAAACAACCAATAAATGTCTTCAATTTTTTCTCACAATAAATGCTTCATTCCCATTTATGACCACAAATTTGTGCTTGAAACTTATTTTGATAACTTAAGAATGATTTGTTCCACCAGGTTTCTTTCTCTGGGATGGGAGTATTGTGCATTTCATGTTAAGAATAGGCCACTTTATAGTTGTGCACTAATAGTTGCTAAGCCTTTGATTTGGAGTGAGGATGAAGGTGACCTTATTGTGGTACAGACCAGTATCTAGTTGGCATGATAACAAAGCAGTTTACATTTGAAAAGCTGCAAGGTTTGTATTATAACAAGGTCACCCTTAGCCTCACACCTGTTCAAAGGCTTAGCAACCAAGCACACAACTGTAAAATTAACTATTCAGTACCTTGATGATCTGGGTCTTTCATGTACTTTTTCAGCTCCAACAGATGATGAGGAACTCAAGCCACCCTGTTCTTTGATACACTTAACCATGACTTCCAACATGGTTCGAAATGGTTCAGGAAGCTCCTACAGAAAATAAGACACAATGATGACAACTGACAGAATGAGATCTAATCATCATCAAGCTAAAACAGACACTTAGACAGTAGGGTTGGGGGGGGGGGGAGAGGGGGATACATGCACCACCATCTTCCCTCCCTCCCCAACACCACAATGAATTTCTTGTTTGTCGTTCCACTAAGAGGTTAATCAAATTCTGGAGGAAGCCACCTCGCTCTTAAACTAAAAGAAATACTTTGGGCCAATAAGAGTGTCATTTGGTAACTATATAAATTGAACATAATTCATAGTTACTTGATTTACTAATCAAGACCACAAGCTTCACAACTGTCAAAATCAGCCATAATATTGAATTTAAGTAACAATTAACATCACTTTCATTGGTTTTGCTTTTCTTTAAGCTGACTAATCACATCATGTACGGGAAAGTACAATGTATTTTGACTACAAAATACCCAAAGATTGTCCCCCTTCCACTGGCAATAAAGAAAATGATAAATTCAACATCAACTGAAAAAATTGAACAATCATACCTTGTTCTTTTTCATGAGCTTTTCAATGTGCATTTCTTTTGCAAGTTGAACGCGGTTGCTGATACTAGGAGAAAAATAAAGTAAATTAAAGCATTGCGATCAAAAAACTAAATCAATACTTTAAATGTACAGTTAAAACTTGCAAAATTCATCAAATTTGAATCAGTGTCATACTTCAATACTGTACAGTTTACAGGAACAAACTGACCTAAATTTACTAAGGGATCAAAACTGACCTATCACAATCAACATTAACAATCCTTAATTTTCACAGGTGATAATTTCCCAGCAAAACTAACCAATAGGTTTTCTTGAACTTGACTTAGAACACTCAACCGACACAAAATTCTTGCAACTAATTTACAAGGAAATATGGAGCAGCTAAAGGGAAGAATTAACAATCAGATCTTGGAAGTTAAAGGGTTAACACTTCTGCTAGATAGCCATTTATCTGCTGGACAGGGATTTATCCATTCAATTATATGGTAGCATTAGTAGCCCTTTGAATAACCCAGGCCTCAAAGATAAGACTGTATAATCAACTGATATTCCAGGGTTTTACAAGAAATGATAAGTTAAACATTAAATTTCCATACCTATCATCACTCCTTGGCATCTCCTTATCCAAGGTTTGCAGTGTGTTCTTTAATCCCTATAATAATTATATTAAGAACATCAAAACAATGAACAAAATATTGAACAAAACTGGTTTTAGAATTATCATTATAAATAGTAAACAGTAATTTTCGTTGTTAGAGGTTACCATTTGCCCCCCCCCCCCCTTGTTTAACTCTTTGACCCCTTAGAGGGAGTAGCATCTAATTTCTCCTTACAATATTGGCACCCCCTGTACATACACATTTAGCTCACAAAAATAAAGGGAATAGTGAATTCACCAACTAAAGACACTCTTGGTTGTCACACAAATTCTCCTTGTCAGCACCCTAGGAAATGTATAGAGAACAGTATGGAGAATATGCATACTGATATTAGGGTGTAAAGGGTTAAGGGAAAATTATATCTGGCAATGAAGACCAGCTGAGGAGATGTGGCAACCTACTTTGTAAAATATATCCATGAAGTTTTCAAAGAGAGGAAAATGAACATCACTTAAGCACATTACTATATATGGGATACTAGTTAGCAGGCTTTCTGGATTACAAAATGTATCTTTTGCAAACGATTTTTCTTAAATGTAGATTTCGTCACGCAAGGTAATTACATTGTTTCATAGCTTTAGTAACTTACATAAGAAAAATAGAAAGAAAAGTCTTGAAATATTGGGCTTACAAGAAACGTTGTTTCATATAAATGGTAACAAAATACACAAGCACAAATGGATCGTTATTTTAAATCATATACCTGTAAATTTATTATTTATAATCGTCTAGAACGCGACACCTTGGCTTGAGTTCGGTGCATCGAAAGACCTCGAGCTAAATCATTTCATCGCCATCTTATCGCGATGAATGAAGGACGTGAAATTTAAACTCTTTCAGTTTTTTTTTTCAAAACTAAGAAAAAACCAAAGCTTACCTTTCGGCTAAGATACTCCCGCACAAGAGAAGCCGTTAATGAGATGACAGTGTCAGACATATTTGACCCACGGCATACACTCCAAAGATGGGCTCTTTCGATGATAATATAAGTGTCAATAACAACCAGTTATCCTTGGCAATCAGGATTTTACTTCTCTGATCCCCACATTAAGCGCCTCGATAGTTGATCCCCATGGCAATATCTAAGCCAAAAATACTACGAAGTCTTAGGATGCTATATTTTGTACACGGTGAGAAACAGACGATGAAAATCCACTTATGCGTTATCTGACTGATGCAATAAACTATTTCCACTTAATACAATGATAAAGAAGTTCTCAATCGATCCGATCTTTTTTCCAGAAAAGCGTTAATAATCCTCTTTTTGAGGAATATTTTGACGAGCACCACTTGTCAACAATCCGGCCGCCATTTTGTTTGAATCGCCTCCAGTCTTCTTTCAGCCTATTAGGCAGATGGCCTGAGAGGACTAGGGGTAAGTCCACTGGCGGGAAATAACTGCAGCAGTTACGGCGAAGGCCCAAAGCTTTCATAAATTGTTTTAGATGATTTTTATGGCAGACGGCTCGAAAATTAAGTATGTATGATATGCCAAAAAAGATCTGGAGACCATTAAGACTAAACTTTTTTGTGCATCAAGTTTACAAGGAAATGTGTGGCGTGTCGTGCGGGTATGGTGGCCGCCATATCCCGTCAAAGTGGATTCAAGCCCCTTATTATGTGAAACATAGAATCTGGTCGGGTAATGTCTGTCTTTTGTATGCTCTAAGCTTTATGCATAAAAAACCCAAAGTATAACTGTTGCTCAACCAGCAAAATCAGTACTAAAAATGCTATAACTTTTTCATTTTTGAGTAATGCAGAACAAAATTTATTTAAATGATTTTCGCAATCGAGGACTGTGTCTTGCAAATATGGACGATCCATGACGTATTTAAAATGCACAGCAAGCTGAGTCCCCCACCCTCTAAAAGAGACAAAGAGAGAAACATTTTTCCATGGCCTTCTCAGTTCCCCCTCTCTCTCAAGCGAAAACGAATTATTGGAAGAGGTTTCATCTCCTATCTTATTCTGAATACCCTTACACAAGACATTCAATGTGAAAAGTTTATTTAGAATGAGTCAGTCAGTCTTCTAGTATACGCTTCCTGATACTGTAACAAGCCAGAACGGGCAATGTAGAGGAGAACACATACAAAACCAAGATGTCGGACCAACAAGATATATTTAATATAAGAAGACAGATGTCGTCAGCGGACCACGAGGTCGTGACAGTGTCACGCAATATTGTTACAGATACAATCTTAATACGTGCACCCTGAGTCAACAAAACGAACCTGTCCTACGCCAGATGCGAAAAACCTCTAAAAAAACCACTCTTTAGATGTTGCCAAAAAATGTGTGGAATCGTATTCCTCATCTAATACAGCAGGACAATACCCTGAGGAAAGGGGAAACTGACCTGGTTGCACTAATAATCACAAACAAAAATCAATGATGTAATGATATTTTACAGGGAGTTGGAATAGCAAAATTACAACAAATACAAAAAGGAAAGTGGTCAAACATAAGACTTACCGACCTAGAATAACTTAATTTTCCTAAATCCGAAACTTTCATGATGCCACGCAAACCTCTTCAACGCGCCATCAGAATACTAATTTTCCTTGTCAGCACCTTAATAAATTTATAGAGAATAGTATGGAGAATCTGCATACTGATCTTACGGTGTGAAGGTTTAGAGAAGAGAGAGCTTATCGCAAGGAAACTTAAACGAAAAAAGATCTAACCCACAGGCATACCAAAGTTTTGTGTTACATGATAAATTTGGGTTTAGCCATGGGCTTTGTCAAAAAGAGGAGACACATGACTCGGAATTAAGTTTTCTTTATTTTTCCGTTACGTCGATATTTGAATTCCAAGAGAAATTCCAACAGCATCCGGCAAAAATTCAGGATATGTATTTTGTAATACTGCAAACATGGCATGCAACGAGTGATGTTCGGGATTAACTGTGGTTTTCGATGTTTTCAATTTTTGTGGAAAGAGGCGGATAGAGGTGGTTAACCCCTAATCAGGAAGGGCTGCTAGGATCTCATAACCACTGCCTGTTTTAACATAAAGGTCCTGATCCTGGGGATAAAGGAGGTAATCGCTGACCAAAGAAACTCTTTAAGTGTTGAACAAATTATCCAAGTCAATACCTTAGGAAATGTATACGGACATTAATGAAAATATTCTTGCTAATGTTAGGGCGTAACCTTCCCAGTCAAGGGTTTCAAGAACTTTTTTTCATATGCGGCTGCCGATGGTGTAATAGTCTGCTGTGCTCGGAAAAGGGGTCATAAGGCCAAACAGAAACACGAGAGCCTGCGAGCGGGCTGAACAGACAGTGGTAAGAGATCACAGTTACGTGATAGGCGTTAAACCGCCGATGACCGGCTTTAACTGAAGTTCCGCTTCCACGACGTAATTGATTTTGGATTATCTTCCCTACTCACGATCATAAAACCCAATTTTTAATAAGTTTTCTCGTGAAACAAGGGTTTAGCGCATGTAAAGACTTCTTAAACACTATCTCCCCACCATCTCCACCATATATTGCAACACTTTTGGCACACAAAACAGAAAAACGTTTATTTTGAGGCAAATTATTATCTGATACACTTCATTGCGTGATATTGTACTCAATTGAAGTTGTACGTCATATTCGTGCATGGTTCGAACGGAACGGAACATCGTAATATTTTAAGAGGTCCTTTGTTTAGGAGGAAAACAACACTGACTATATATTGGATACTGCTAATCTCTATTTTGTTGTAATTTCTCTAAGAAAATAGTTTCATTTCACAAACCGATTGTGGAAGAAATATTTCGTATGCGCCAATAGCCGTGCAAATTTCTGTAATGCCTCAAGCTTTATGGAGGATTGCTTTTGATCTCGATTGTGCTTTTACATAGTTTTTCACGACTCTTTGGGTTTCGGAGGTATCAAGATTATTATTTTTTACACCATTTTATTATTTACTCGCAATTTGGATTTTTTTTTTTTCAAAAGGGCAAAAAAATATCTTTTTTTCCGTTGCTGGAGTATTTCCACGTTATCGTTTTGTTGTTGGGGCCAACATAATAGATTTGTCATGCTCCACCAAACAATGCATTATGCTTAATTAACAAAACCAGATACAGGCGTCATTTACATTCTAATTTTGTTTCACTTGTAAACTGACAAACAACTATAGGTGTCCATGATGGACTTGGAAAACCAATCCGTAAAAGTTGAGGTGAGTTGACCAAATTATTTATTTTTCTTACTTAAGTTATGTAGGAGAGGAAAAACAAACAAATTTGTTGCAAATTTAAAGTTGACTTTGTTGATCATGTAATAATGAAAGAGCTCATGCCATGGCGCGTTGTAAAACTAAGATCGCTTTTGACGATAAGCAAATATTGCGATTATTTAGAATTTTGAATAAGCCTGTACCCACTAATGTTTGTTTTAGGACGAAAGTAAAACGATTTCAGGCACTTGAAGTAGGTAGTACCATGTCAGAGTTTCCAATACGGTGTAGTGCTGCAAGGGACGCTTCGTTGAAATTTCTATGCAAAATGTGATGTTCCTACAAAACGCAAAGACTGCAAGCTTTCGTTTTACTAGTCGTAGAAATTCGTTTTGGTTTTTAAATTGGATTCTGCCGTAAGGCGAATGTTTTGTAAATGCAGCCTTACAACAATAATTTTCCTTATGAGGTTGTGACTTTGAAACAGGCTAAATATTTCAGCTATGTAAATTCTTAAGAGCAACTTGGATTCTTACAACAGCTTGTTTTGAGAGGTTTCTAATTTGACCTCAATATCTGGTTATGAATCGCTTGTTATTGACACAAAATTATGCAACGACATTGGGGTTAGTCCGTGTAATCTAACTTGTATGTTAAATTGACGTAGTCGACCATGTTCCCCTAAAAAGTAGAACTCATCGCGTTTTCAAAGTTTCTGAAAAACTTGTTTGTTTTCACACCTCCCGCGAACTTTGAAACTGAAAAACAATGCGAAATGAATTCATTACTGAAAATTGGCCGTAATGAAATTTTTGATCCGTGACTAGACTTGTTTGATTCGCTTGGAGACGAAATTATCACCTTAATGCTTTTTACGGTTTCTAAGCGAATAAAATTCAATATAGTACCAAGGACACAACGGAGAAACTATTTTAATACTTAAAAGCATCCACAGCCCCCGTCCCCACCCCCACCCCCAAATTCTACGATTATCTTCGATACCGGCTCCCTCTCCCCTCAAAAACTAAACGTAAATGTAAAATTCTCTTTTACTGGTTAAACGTTTTCAGGGGGGTGTAGACAACGGAGCCAGACGAAATGCTTTAAGAAAGGAGCTGATTACAACATTTTTTGATGGCGTTACAACCCCGTATGAAGGCTTCCTTCGAACTGTTCAAAACTCAGGTGAGCACTTCGTTACAAGAAATAGAATGAGAGATTGCGAGGTGGAGAGAGCACTCGTCCCTCCTTCATTGCACGCACCCCCCCCCTCACCAATTTCCGAGTCTAATGTCTTTTTGGCTGATTTTGTTGTTTGTTTGTTTGTTGTCTCCTTCTTGCCACTTTAATCCTTTAACCCTTAAAAGTGACCAGCATCTAATTTCTCCACATAGTATCACCTGTGAATCTAACATTAAGTTCTTGAGAAGATAGGAAATGATCGCCTACTTAAGAAGCTTTGATTGTTAAACGAATTCTCCGTGTCAGTACCAAAGGAAATGTATAGAGACGAGTTTAGAGAATATGGATTCTGATGTAAGGGTGTAAAAGGTAGAGAGTTAGTTTTCCTCCTGGTTCCGGGGTTTTTCTCTCTTTTAAAAAAAAAACAAAACAAAAAAAAACCGAGTTTTAACTCAAACTGGAAACAATGGCTTTTCTGGTTTCGCATCATTCAGTCTGTCACAGGAAAAGACTGCATTGCTTAAACCACAAAAAAATACAGTATTATAAAGGCTGCGGCGTTTAATGCCGGATAAAGTGATATGGGTTAAAGTTGTAAACGCATTTGCAGTAAATAATTTTGCGGTCTTCATTTTCGCGGGCTGTACACCCAAACGATAAGCCCAGTGCCCCGCACTCCCAAATAGTTCCCATGCCCCTGCGCGTTTCCGTCGCGGAGAATTTGTTTCCAGCTGAATTTTTGTAATTCTAACATGCAAGTTCGTTTCGCACAGGCGATCAGCCATGTTTGGGAACAAGAGGGGGACCTGATAACAAGTATCAGTGGATCACATATAAAGAGGTAATGAGTTAACCCTTTAACTCCAAAGATCTCATTAGTAATTCTCCTTACTGTCTGCCACACAGTTCTTGTGATATTAGTTTGGAGGATTTGGGATTGGATCAACTTGTAATCCCCTAAGTGATATTTGTCTTTATTCTCGTTTCATTTCTGCTTGATATTGTACTAATAGAGTAAGGAGAAATTCTGTTTTGGTCACTAGTGGGACTTAAAGGGTCGAGAACGGTTCTAGTGCAGGAAGCTTTGGGTTGAAGCTCGTCACGCCTTTCCGATAAAGTCGTGGAAGAAAGATTGCGTTACATAATCCCTTCCCCTTCATGTTGTCGTTGTTTTGCGTGTTCAGCCAGGTATTAAAATGGCAATTTTGAAGAAAATGTTCTGAACGGTTAGATAGCTCTTTGCAATCTCAAACCGAAGAAGAGGTAAAAATAACCTGGTGTCTAGAAAATACCTCTGCCGAGAGTATTGTAAGATGCGTGAACTGAGATGTAACTCCTTTAGCAATCAAGACAGTGAGCCAGGTTCAAACAATTTGAACCTCTGAGCTCAATAAGTACCTTGAACTTGCTTTGTGTTCTCATCTATGTGCGTGCTTTTTTTTTTACTGCTTTTGATAGGTACACGACCGTGCCACTAACTTTGGTTCAGGCTTGGTACATCTTGGTTGTGAACCTTCTCAAAATACATTTGTTGGAATCTATGGTCCTAATTGTGTTGAGGTAAGCGTACGTGTGATAGTCATTTTTTAATAGTGATCGGGTGGGTTACTGGGGTTTGCAAAAACCCCACTTACAACGGACTCCCAAACTGCTTTCTCCAAAGTTCCTGCCAGTGGCGGATCTAGAGGGAGAGGAGGGTTAGGCGGGGCTCCTGTATTGTCAACTAGTTAGTCGGCTGGTTGGTCTGTCCATGCGGGCTATGGATGAAACACGTTATCAATGGTCGTGTTATCTCTGTTAGTCTATCAGTTCAGATCAGTCAATCTGATAATCAGTCCGCCAGTCAGTCAGTCTGTCAGTCTGTCACTATATGAGTCTGTCAGTCAGACCATCGGTCAATCAGTCAGTCAGCCAGTCACTCAGGTTATGAGTCAGCCAGTCTGACAATCGGTCAGTTAATAATAAAACTAAACTCAGTCAATAGATCTGTATGAATAATCCAGGGTAAAAATCCGTACCTGACATCTTTTAATATTTTCAGTGGGACTTAGCAGACCTGGCTTGTCAGATGTATTCCATGATTTCTGTGCCAATTTACGATACACATGGACCAGAAGGCTGCGTTTATATCCTTAACCATGGTAAGATTTCTATCAAATTATTAATGATGGGACTGAGAGGGAGTGGATCACACATTTGTAACCACAGTTCTGATCAGAGACGGAAAACATAGGATACTCTCTAATTTTGAGGGAAACCCGGTTTTGTTTTCTTTAGGGAATAAAATGGAACGGCATCTGCCACTTAAGCAAACTTAATGCGCCGTCTGCTTCGTCCCGCTGGCTCGGTGTCCCATAGTGAAATACGCAATCTTGGTGTGCAAGTTTGTGGTCGCAAATAATAGAATCAAGGTTTTAGCGGGTAAAAGTTTAATTTGCGTATAATGGGTATCCTTGTCCCACTTCTTTGTTTTAGGATAAAACGTACTTGTTCCTTTGGCTTTTTCCATACAAATGAAGAACATTCTTGAATATCAGCTGAAAGATACTTTTAATGTGTTGGGCTTGACGTAGCTATGGCCATGAGTTACCAAGACAGAATTTCTCATTACAATATCGATACAACTTCTGGCACGCAAGTGATAAGAATAAAGAGGACTATCAATTGGTTGATCCAACTGACACCACATTCTCCGAAGTAACGTCATAAGAATTGTATGGCAGACAGTTTGGAGAATTAGTAATGAGACATAGGGGGTTAATTTTTTTCCCACATCATCCGTTAAGTGTAACAGAATGCAAAAAAAAAAAAAATCACTGGAAAATTTGTGCTCTAATTGTTTAATGAAGTGTCATTCAACTATTTCAGCGGATATAGAGACGATTATTTGCAACGGTAATAAGTTGCGATTCATTTTCGACAATGCCAAAGAATGTGAGAAGGTAAAAAGGATCGTTAAGATGGACAAGCCTGTAACAGAGGAAGAGAAAAAAGAAGCTGATTCCCTTGGAATTTCTTTGTTATATATCGTGGAAGTAGAGGTGAGAGACTAATTACAAAGGGACAGGTCTTTATTTATCACGGGGGGGGGGGGGGGGCGAATTTGAGTTGAGTGATAATAAAATTAGCATGATTTCCGCCCCTCTCCTCCCTCCACCTTCCCCTCTCCCCTCTACCCTCCCCCACCCCTCCACCCACCCCCTAAAGCCGGCGACACACTCGGGAAGGAAAATCGCTTGGTGTGCCCAGTGCAGCGATTTCGATTAACGCCGATCGCGGTCGCCGCGATCAGCGAATGAAATCACCGATGTCTGACATGTCAGATATCGGTGATTTTCGCCAGCGATCAAATTCACCGGTTGTAAGCCCCGCTTTCTCCGATCTTCTTTTTTTCCACAAACCCTGAAAACAGCGAAATCCTCAATTTGACTTCCACTCACTTTGTGAGTGCACTGTTACTTAAATCCATTCATTTTAAGATTTTGTATTCGCTCGTAAGGCTAGGGTGGAAAATAGTACTTCATTATCACTCCAAAACACTGACGCGCTTAGGCCCAGCGGTGATCAGTCGGACAACGGCTGACAACTTGTGTGTCGTGGCTGGTTCAGATGTTCTTCAATCGAAATTCTTTAAAATCATGTTTTCATATTTTTCCTTTTTCAGCAAATGGGTTCTAACAATCCTCAAGAGAGAAAGGTAAGAACTGAGGTAAAAGTTTAATAAGCAAAACCACCAGAATTTAAATGCATATTAGGCAGTTGTTTTTTTGCCCATTTACTTGATATGTAAATACGTCATCATATTAAATTTTTATGCCAAAGAAAAGGCATGGATATGGTATGAATAGAAGTGCTGACGTAGAAACTAGCATAGTGTCGAGAAGTGCCTGGTTGGATTGGAGGGTCACCCTTCAGTGTCGCATGACAAGGAAGAGAAGTGTAGAATAAATTTTTTCAGAAGAGACTGATATTAAAAAGCGTTCGAATCGTCACATCACCTAGTCTAGTGTACTCGACTTGATAGGTTCTTGCAAGTGTGTCTGGTGTTGTTGAAGCTTTTTCTTTAGCGCAAACACTTCCGCGACGAAAGAGCTTGTTCGAAAGTTGTTATGTTTATATGAAGTTGCTCAAATTCACTAACATACAATGTTATAGCAAAAACGAATTGCGATATGGTGCTTTTACTCTTTCAGCCTGGGAGACCTGAGGACACCATGACTGTCTGCTATACAAGTGGAACAACGGGTATGTGTGTGTTTTTTGTGACTTTATCAGTACATGCTTCTATGTTTCGTATTTCTACCGTTTTTGTCTCTTTTTTTTGTTCTTTGATAAACAGGTACGCCGAAGGGTGCCATGTTAAGTCATGGAAATATAAATGCTGGGGTCGCAGGAATTCAAGTCCAATATGAGGTTTGTGTCAGAAAAATTGAAGTTACCTTTTATGACAGATTCAGCGTTGAAGAGAGGAGAAGAAGGGGGGAAAGGTGGGGAGGTGAGAGAGAGGGGGTGGGAGGGTGCAGATGCGTTCTTGGCTAGTTTCACATGGTTCTCTTAGTTCTCATTTCCGGTAACCTGATTTCAACTCTTCCGTTAAAAAAGGCCGAAAAAATTACACTTTCCACGTTACCTCAAATACGAAGCATGGCTCCAATAAAGTTACCTTGTATGCCCTCGAAGCGTACCACAGGATTCGATCAGATGTAATAACGTAATCAAACATCATGTCTTGTCTTAACTTTTTTTCACTCTTGTTTACAGACTATGAAAAATTTTTTATTTTTATCTGAGGTTTTCCACAAAGTTTCTGGGGCTTAATTTTCCTGGGCCCAATCGCCAAAGGGCGGATAGTACTATCCATCGAATAAATCGCTATTCAACAGATAAGTGTAAACAAAACGTACTGCGTTATCCAATGGATAGAGATTTATCCACTGGATAGCGTTATCTACCCTTCAACAACCGGAGTCAGAAAAATATATGTCACAGTCGACGTCTTCAGCTCGAACCTTAAGGACAAAACTCTTTGATTTTATTTTTGAACAGGAATCTGGTCTCCAGATGATAGAAGGAGACTGTATGATCTCCTATCTTCCACTGGCTCACATGTATGAGCGACTGGCTCAGGTACGCTTGCGCAAACTAGGGCTATCAAAAGTGCCTTTTTATATAACGTTTTTTAGTGAAAAGTAAGCAAGGTGTCAAGAAATATGCTTTATGGTTACACTGGGAACCAATTAACTATGGAGCACTGATTTTTGACTTGCGAACACTACTGATGCTTAAAATTTTTACATCTCAAACTCTACATATGGCGTGCTTGACTAGCGGATCTTTCATCGCTTAATGAACGAGGCAGTGGAGCTCCAAATGCAAGCAGTGGAGCTTCCATACAATGACTCCCTTGGTTCGTAAGTCATTTTCATCTGTTCAGCAGGAAATAGGAGGTTTTTTCTCCCAAAAGTTGAGATAAAGTTTTTGCATGGAACAAGAGTTGACCTCCACGGAATGGCCCTGATAGTTTGTATTATTAGTCTCAATCGTTTTGTCTGATTGTATAGTACAAGTTGATTTTATCCTGATAGCTTGACATCCTTTTTAAATCAATATCTTTATCTCTTGCAGGCAATGTGCTTCTTAAATGGAGTGAAAATTGGTTTCTTTAGGGGTGACGTAAAACTACTGCTGGATGATATTCAAGAACTAAAGTAAGTTTGTGTTCTTTCAGTTTATCTCTTACCAGTGAGAGGGACTTCATTACCGCTATCTGCCTAGTTCATGCGCCGGATGCCATGCAGAAGGTCAAGAGAGTACAAGAGACTTGACCTCAATAAAAATGTTTCGGGAATACTTTCCTGTAAAAATTCACCAGTCCACACCTTGAAAGCTAGGCTTGGGAGTGAAATTGGGTATTCCGCCTTGAGCGGGCTTAAGAGCCACCATCAGATTATGCGCCGAGCAATTTGAAGCTTCAAAACCCCCCTCACCGGGCAACCCACGGGCATTTGACCATTGTAGGTGCCATTGGGGAATTTAAACCTTGCCTGGGTGGTGTGGGGAGTCTGGAACGAAAGTGTCTCGTCCTTTTAGCGCACTACACGTGTGAAGTTCTAATACGCATTTACTTCACTAACTCGGTCATGCTTTGCACAGCATTGTCAATATAGCCATCATTTAATTTAGGTTTAAAACAAAAGACATTTTCTTTTCAGGCCAACGATTTTCCCCTCTGTACCAAGACTGCTCACTAGAGTTTATGACAAGGTAACTATACTAGAGCGTGTACGCTTTCTTTTGTGTACCTTCCTCGGCGGATGTATTTACTGGAATGCGCGCATTTCCTCTCAACTTTTTGTGCTAACATACGCACTTTGGTTCTCGCATGTTCGAGGTTGCAGGCGCTTGTTCTCTCTCGGATATCCGTACCCATTCGCTCATATTTCCCGACAGACTTCTGCGTGCGCAATTTCCCTCTTGAATTTGTAAACACCAGCAGGCAGTTTGTTTCCACATGTTTGCATTTGCACGTGCACTTTCTCTTTTCTGATTCTGGACACGTGCGTTTCTTTAGTTGCTTTAGTTCCTATGCTCACGCAACCCGTGAGCCCGCAGTTCAAAAGCCCCATCCCTGTAGGTTTTATTCCCTTGCAATGTGGTTATTTCCATTTGCAGAGTCTGTCTGTTCTCACGCGTGCAATTAGTCATAGGATTTATTAGCAACCTGTATGGCTGTAACTGTTGGACAATATGAATTCGAGTGTATACGACAGCCAAATGAATCTATTTTCAAATCGCCGTGAAAAACTGCAATTTGTTTCTTGCACTGAGTCGCAAACTTGACGCCAGCGGCGAAGAGACATCTATTTTTGTATGGTAAAGATTCCATAATTATTTTTTTTACCTTAAAGGTGATGGCACAAGTTTCCCAGAGCAAACTCAAAGGCTGGCTTTTTAACAAAGCACTTGCATCTAAAGAGGCCGGTTTAAAAAAGTTAGTATTGCTTGATGCAAGTACTTCGCAATTTACCGTCTTTACGAGAGAGCAAATTCCGTCGCAGTCAACAGTAAAGCTTTTACTGATTAGCAAAGAGAACGCATGTACAGTTTGTTCCGTCGGTTAGAATTTAAAAAAATGTCTTTCGACATTATAAGACCGTGACAGCGAGAGCAAAAGTAGTTGGCACGCCTCCCCTTGGCAAGTAGTCGACTTCTCTCGTACCCGTACCTTCCACACCCAAGCGGTTGCAAGGTCCTTTCATTTCAGTTCCAGTTACACGGTAGGATCTGGGTACGAGATAAGTGGTTGATAACTCTCCGCATAACACGATAAATAGAAATCTTGTAAATGATCCCTGACACGTCACTTGAAAGTCCCCCAAACAATTTTGCCTTATTTTGTGAGAAATTTGAGACTATTTGTTAGTACCAGGCAACATTGAAATGAGGGAGAGGGGGGAAGATAAATCAGAAAAAAAATCCAAGCAGTATCAAAGCGTTCCAAGACTTTTTCCAGTCATTATAGTTTGGAACTATAAGAGAACTTTGCAGTTTACAGAGGTCACACTTCTTAAATTCGGGATTTATTTCTATACATTTCTTTGATAGGGTTATGAAACCTGTTATCAGTAGGCATTTCTTTCCACCCTTTTTTTTAACATTTTATTTTTTTCACTGAAGGGGAAGAATCAGAGGTGATACAGTTTGGGATCGCACTGTGTTCAAGAGAATAAAGGTCAGTCAAATCACTCTTAGAGCTCTTTCAATTATTGTGGAGGGGCAATGGTCGAACGGGTAGCAGGTATAGATATAGCTTGAGAGCAGGCTATATCTAAATATTTTTTTTTTCTGCCGTCGATGTGGAACTTTAAAGAGACTCGAACAGAAAAATTTGTCGCACAGTTCGTCAGATGAGAGATCTGCCATTGAACACTACTTTGAAAGAGGATTCCGTTATGATACAATTGTTCAGTTTTTAGAAAAGGAAGTGATGAAGGGCCTTCGATTTCACGTTTAATTATCTCCCGAACTTCGCGCTTTGAAAGGACTTCATTTCTTCTTCTCAACCCATACTGACGCAGCCTTCTCTTCTCTCTTCTCGTCCTCAGTTTCATAGAAACACCATGGTATTTTTCTAAAAACTGAACAATACATCGACGGCAGAATAGCTCATTGCTCATTAATTCTTTTCCACTTTTGTGACATAACATTTCAATACACTTGGTACGGTTTAGTCCGTTGGCGTTTTGACTCCAAGTCGACCTAGTGCAACCTAGTGCGCCACAATGTGCTGTATCTTGACAAAGTGGTGACTACTGGCGCAAGTGTCAAGTGACAAAATATTTTTCTCGATCTACGAAAATTTTCTGGATTTTGGAAAGATTCTTGGATTGTAAACTATTTTCGATTTCTATGAAAGTTATTTGTGGATCTATGAATTAAGCCGGGATTTGAAATTGTTTTTTCGATCTGACAAACTTTTCAAAAGCGATTTGTCTGAAAGATATCGATTCTACATGGTTTTTCGGATAAAATAATTTTGGATTGTCCCTTTTCGGCTTTCGTAGTTCAAATGTTTAATGTCGATAATCACTTCCATAACTATGAATATTCATACGTTAGCTGTTGGTAGACGGTCACCTAGCATTTGCTGGGTTGAAAATTCTTCACGATCTGATTAGCAAGTGTTTGATTGTGTTCCAACAGATGGCCCTTGGTGGAAATGTTCGGCTGATTGTCACTGGAGCTGCTCCCCTGTCGGCTAAAGTAATGATGTTTCTAAGATGCACTATGGGAGTTTGTTGTGTAAGTCAACAACGATTAATTGTCGACTTCGGCGCCGTCCTGTCTCGTCTCGTCTCGTCTCGTCTCGTCTCGAAGCGGGATTGCGAGAGACGAAAGGGACAAATTATTGTCTCTTGTTACAACGTACAGTTTGTATTTACATCATTGCGCAATTTAAACTTCTTCATTCTGTGTCAGTTAGGTCCTTTTTCTCGCCAGTCAGCAATTGCATGAATGAAGTGCTCATGAAGTTGTTCTTTTATCTTCTATTTCAAGGTCGTAGAAGGCTATGGACAAACTGAAAGTACTGCAGCAGCAACTATTACTTTCCCGAGGGACACGTCTGTTGGTAAGGCAAAGAGAACGTTCAAATGTTTATCAAACTTATAACTAGTCAAAAGTCATTTTCTGAAGACAAAGGAAGTATTGTCGAATCATTCCGAAGACGAATTCAATTTTCATAGTTTACATTTAGTTATTCTCAAACTCTGTGAACCTTTATCCTGAAAACGAATTTCACAAACTAAAAGAATGTAGTTCATTGTCTATTATTGCGTCCGCAAATCGGCATCGATCCGTGGGGCGTGAGGCGCAATCGAGGATCTGGTGAGGTTCCTCTCCAGATCAACACCAGAACCCAAGTTATCCTTTTTTGTCACATGATTACCATGTCTGTAGGTCACGTGGGAGCACCTCTTCCCTGTAATCTCATCAAGTTGGTAGACGTCCCAGAAAAGGAGTGTTACGCAAAAGACGGTAAAGGAGAGGTATAATAATCTATCTATTCTTTTAATTTTTAGATTAACATTATAATTATTTTATTATGATGAGCCATATTTTTGAAACGGTTTTGAGAGTACATCATGATCAGCCCTAAATTTCAAATAATTCTTTTCGTTTCTGTTCATTCCTTTATTTTGGTCTTTGCTTTGTCTTTTGCTCGTTTTTGATCCCCTTACACATACCTTACAAAGGAGAATACTGATATCAACTCGAACGACTAAGATACAAACAAAGGTCTGTTGCGTATACTTGTGACCTTCTTAACTAAATCCTCGTAATTATTGCCCAATGTAAGTGTAATACTTTAAACAGAAAAGTCTATTGTTTATACTCGTGACCTTTGTTTACCAATAACAGTTCTTGTAAGTGTGATATTCTTTCTCCAATTTTTAACATGGAAAAAATACTTTATAAGCTTACGAAACGACCGAGCTGGGTATGAAACGACTCAACTGACTGGGTACGGAGCTACCTAGTTGGGTACGAAAAGACTGGGTACGAAACGACCGTGGGTGCAAATTCGAAACGACCGGTAACCATATAAGCCACGGTGCACATCGAAAAAATTATATTAACTCTGCTGTCTTCGACATTTTTAGATCTGTATAAAGGGACCGACGGTCTTCCAAGGCTACCTGAAAGCTCCGGAGAAAACTGCCGAGACAATTGACAAGGATCAGTGGCTCCACACCGGAGATATCGGAGAATGGCTTCCGGTAAGAGTGCGGTTGCAAAATTTATAGAAGAGGCCTCGAGCAAACTCATTGGTTCTACAATGAGGGAAATATCAACAAATCATGTTCCAAAATGCTCTCAATAAATCTTCGTCAATGCTTGTTACTTCCTGAAAAAGGAAAAATTTAAATTTTACCTTTTTCTATTACAGAATGGAACCTTGAAGATATTTGATCGTGTCAAGCATATCTTTAAGCTTGCTCAGGTAAACGTGATTCTGTGATTGTGGAACGAAATTATCGTTCGATTTCCGTGAAGGTGTTAAGAGCCCAGCAGCTCGTCTGTGAAAAGATAGCTACAATACTTTTCCATTTTTCTTGCTTTCAACTTTCTTCCAGTTTCCACTAAACCTTACTTTCCCAAAGATTCTTTTCCCGGCTTTTCTCATGCAAATAGAGTGATTAGATTTCATTGCGAACTTCAAATTGTATTTCAATATGCTTCAAAACTCAGAATTACACATTACTATTCCAAAAATGAAGGAAAATAAAGTTTGAATCTACATTAACGTAACCTAACTAAGCAGTAATTAGTGTTGTGCTTTATTTTTTCAGGGTGAATACGTTGCTCCGGAGAAAATCGAAAATATTTACCTGCGCAGTACTTTAGTAGCCCAAGCGTTTGTACACGGAGATAGCTTACGGGTCAGTAAACGCAGGAGATAATTATAAGTCACTATTTCTTTTATTGTGATAGGTAAGGAGGCATGATAATTGAAAACGAGTTTAGAATCAGATGGCATGGGTGTGTAAAGGAATCTTATCCGAAGGGTGATTTCTTAATCCACAGTGAGGAGTAAATCTACCAGCGCTCTTTCACATATGCTGCAATCTAATTGGCTGTGCTACTCGCTTTCTATTTAACGGTTGAATTATGAACTCGACATTTCTATCACGTGATAGATTGACAAGGGCGCAAGCTTCCTTTACATCTCAAACAAAAGGCGTTAGCTCCCCATCGTCAGTCTTCATCGTTGTAACATTATAAGTGATATTGTATGTATTGTTTTCAGTCATTTGTAGTGGCAATCATCGTTCCAGATCAGGAGGTGTTGGAACCTTGGGCACGATCTAAAAATATCCATGGAGACTTTGCAGAGTTGTGTGAGAACGAAGTAGGAAAGCTATGAAATCTAACTTCAACTTTGTTACAACCTAGTCAGTGTATCTGTTTTTATCTGTCACAATCTTTGTACATGTGCGTCTTCATTTGTTCAGCTACCTAACCGTGTCTCCTCTCCTTCGCCTGTATACTTTCTCTGACTCCTACCAGATTGTCGTTCAGATGAGGGGTTTGGCTCGAGACCTGAGTTGCTTAATGCGTTTTGCTTTGGGAAAGACGCATTACCATAACATTGCCTCGCTCTATGTAGGAGATCAAACGTCTGTCTTTATATACTAAATCATCTCATTTAGGGATAAGAAGAAACAATGTCCTCTTGCCTTCGAACGAGTTTCCTCTCTTTTTACTCTCATCTTCCATTTTCAGGAGGTAAGAAAAGCAGTTATGGATGACATGACTAAAAAAGGCAAGGAGGGCAAGTTGAGCTCCTTTGAACAGGTAAATAGCTTAGCAGATTATTATCGAGTAGACACTTAATTTGCCTTATTGTTTTTGGAAATCACTGGAAGTGAGATTCGTTGCTTTCAGACGGTCAGAAAACGTTAAAGAGTTTGGAGTAACTGAAAATTGTTTTGCGCTATCTGTTGAACTGTTAACGAAAATGAGTTTCTTGTTTTGCTAAGCTAACTCAGTTGTCTTACCCGCAGGTTAAGGAAATCCACTTACACAACGAATTGTTTTCCGTCGAAAATGGATTTCTGACGCCAACTTTCAAGACTAAACGAGCGCTGGTTGCCAAAGCTTTCGAGCAAAAGTTCCAAGAGCTGTATGAAAAAGTCGACAAGAGGATGCAGTTTATGCGTTCAACAAGTTTTGAAATTCAGCAAGTTGTTTAGTTAAAGAACTCAGAGTACGCAAAGCTTTTTCAAGTCATTCTGTCGATTTAGGGCTCTGTTTTAAGCCTTACCAATGTTCTGCGCTCCTAAAACACCGTGAATTGCTGGCTTGAATGATTATTTGTAACTCGTGTGAAACAACATGGTTCTGACAGCCTGAAAAAACGCCCACAGTCACTAAAACGTTTGCATATGCGCAGATGCTGGACTACTATGTTCCTCGTATGTAAACTATCAAGCTGATGACTGCAGTTAGAAAGCAGTTTATTTTAAATCATATCCCAACTACCTTTTTTTATCCTTGTATTACTCAGAGTATCTAATCACAGAAACATATCTTTAACTATCAACTATTAATTGATAAATAATAGTAATTGAACTGAGTGAAGTACAGTTTGGGCGGAAATCACAAGTATGATTTCAGACCAAAATTGCATGACACGAGGTTTAATAACCACTGTATTACATCCATTTTGAAATCACCCAAATACAGGACTCGGTCATTTCAAATATTAAATTTGATACAGTACTGAGCCGGTTTGAAATTAGATTCATCCATTTTTGGGGGGAAAAAAATAAGAGTTTTGGAAACAAAAGTTGCAAAATTTGCCACATGATACTCTTTGCCTTTCATTTTCCTGCAATTTGATTGGTTCCTTTAAACCTTGAAATCTGATCGGTAGTTTTGTTTTTAGTGTTGCCTCCTCGTTGGCTGGGAAAAAGATGCGATTTAAAGCAAAAATAGGTGCGATTTTTGAATAAATCGCACCAATCAGAGCCAATCAGATAACAGGGACCACCAGTGGTTTCAAAATGGGTGTAAAAAAGACGTTATAAATCTGGCCCGTAGCAAATTTTAAAAAGCCTACGTTTAATGCAAAGCACTTCGCTCAAAACATCATGCAGCTTTTCAGCAATTATGTCAGCGGTTTACCTACTGTCGTGAACTTGTAAATTATAAGAAAGAAGTCTTAAGACCGTAAACGCAGCACAACAATTTCTATAGAAACGTATAACCTGTGTATCAACTGTACTTGTCGGCATTCAATATAATAAACAGCCATAAAAACACAAAATTCCATACCTTACTGTAACAGAAGTTTGAGTAACTTTTTCCATAAGCGGCAGGCATGCTTAACAGACAGCGGTAAGAGGTCTTAAAGGCGTAAGTACGTCATGTATAGGGAATTATTATCTATTCAATAAATATTGTGGGATATTGATCAAATGAAGCCTTTAAGTGCTACTGTGGTTCTATGGCATCATCAGGGAGGACGATAAAATATTTGCGCTATGGTTTTAAACGTTGGAGGTGCCACTGTAAATTAGCATAGTGTAAAACTAGCCAGTAGGACGCGTGAAAACTAATGGCGTGATAAAATATGTGTTAAAACCGTTAATTAAAATAGCTCATTAAAATAAATCATTAAAATAGAAGATCGTTAAGTTCAGTGCATTCCTCACGGGAGTTCAGTCCCGGCTTGTGCTTTCTGATGTAATACGCTTCGTACAATCGCAGATTGACGGGGTCATTTTCACGCGTGATTACTTTGACTTCAATGTTATGGCTGTTGTTGCGATGGTGTGTTGTGAGATGTTTTTTTACCGATGAGTTGTCGTTGGTCGAGTGTTCTTTTTTTCGATCATGTAGGAATCGTGTCGTGCTTCCGATGTAATATTCGCCACAAGCTTTGCACGTGAGCTGATAAACGGTGTTTCTCTGTAGGCATAAATTGGTGTCTGCGATGGGGCAGTTTGGTCTGTTGCATTTCCTTTCTGTTGTGTTGTGTGAAAGGGCTTGTCTCAGAGTGTAGGACTTGTGGGCGATTCGCACTGGGATGTTTTCTCTTACACTACACTATGCTAATTTACAGTGGCACCTCCAACGTTTAAAACCATAGCGCAAATATTTTATCGTCCTCCCTGATGATGCCGTAGAACGGCGAAAGCTTGGAGTGAATAAAGAGAGAACCACAGTAGCACTTAAAGGCTTCATTTGATCAATATCCCACATCATTACGACATGCTATTAAAGGACACGTTCAAACGTTTAGTTCAATAAATATTATGTCCTATACTTTACATACATACAGTAATTTCCATAAAAATTCCCCATACATGACGTACTTACGCTTAAGGCTTTTATTGAAACTGTATTAATTTTCTATTATCTTGATCTTGCACATGTCGTGTTCGTCATCTCTCACACACGCAAAACTTCAATACCGCCAATAAAGTATCGCAAAAGCCCAAATAGCAAGAATTTTGAGTGCAAAGGAAGGTATAGAAAAATTATTTGCGTTAGGAGCGTTCACAATAAACAGTGTGCCGCAAGGACATATATATTATTGACTGCATGAGTGACGCGGGGCTAGATAGACGATATTTACCACTCGCAGGCACCTCGCTGCGCTTCTAGTCAATGATTTTTCCGTTTTCCACATGATCAGTAGGTACACAAAATATTAATATGTTGAAAATTCATTTAATTTATCTTTGTTTAAAAATTTCAAAACCGGCTTTGCAGCTGCCAGTTTTACGCAATCATGTTGTGTTGGCCTTGACAAGCCAATGCAAGCGAACTCCTTCAGGACATTTACCAAGAAACGAATTACGTACGAGCCATTCACGTCAAGATGCGAGTAATATCGCATCAAATACTCAGAAATACAGTCACTTTTTTTCGCTGTCATCGATCGGTAGCGCTAGGCTGTAATTTTGGATATTTGGAAGCAGAAGTCGATATCGCAAGAAACTCAGTTGCCGGGTGATCCTATAGAAAGTGGTGATGATCCAAGAATATTGACGTAGAAGCGCAATACGATCTGTAATTTCCTAAACAAGCGATTTACCGTGGTGAGTCACCAAGCTTTTCTTTTCTTACTACCTAGCTTCTGTTTGTTCCCTTGGCGATTAACTGTGTTTCATTTCCAAACCGTATTTGAAATAATACAACGTCTGAATGTGAAAACGACACCGCATGATTGAATTTATCTGAAATTTTCGTGAATGTGATACTTATATAATTTTGCATATGAAATCTTTTGCTTCACTCTAAGTCAGAAATTAGGACGCCTACTGCTGCATGTACTCGACATGGAAATGCTCAGGTAGCTGATCAAAAAGTCCATGCCAGTAATTTACTTCAAGATTTCCAAAAACATCATTTTTTGCAACTTAATTTCTTTCTTTTGAAAGGCTCGAAGCAAAATCATCCCTTTGATATTTTGCTCATTTTGAAAGTGCCCCAGAATTTCTTGGAGTCTTGGCAAGTAAACTTCCTTCTTGCGTGGAATCGTGCGTACAAACTAATTTTCTCGTTTCAACTGGTTTTGCTCATCTCTCTCAGAAGATAACTGATGCTGAAAACAGCCGCGATCTCTCTGGCGCTTTGGATAATTCTAATGGCGCAAGGTAGACACTTTTAGTATCTCATGTCAGGCGAGACTATCGAAGTAATAAATATTTGATGGAAGAGTGGGAATTTTTGCATCTTTTGATAATAAGAGAATTTTGAGCCAAACCTGTGTACCAAACAAAGACCGCAAAATTGGAAAACTTTATTAACTTTATAGACGTGTAAAAAGACTTTACAATCGCAAGAATGATTTTACTTCGACATTCGTAATTAAGGACTGTAAAAATTGTCAAACTAATTAAGATCACGAAGATTAAAAACAAAAAACAAAAAAACCTTGTTCAGCGTAAAGCCGATTTCGTGTGCCAATGAAAAAAGATGTTAATTAAAATTTTAACCGGAAACACCTGGGCAAGGGTGAGTTTCATGTCGGCTGAGCGTCAATTTTAGATAGATAAGAATAATAATTAGCTGCGAGTTACAATGAACACTATGACGTGCAGGTTGTGCTAAAAGGAAATATGCAGTAATCAGCAATCCTCAATAAATATTCATTTTCCATTAGAGGTTGAGTTGCTGGTTTAACTCGAATTATCACCACCTGCAGCTGCCACAAACAGCGTATCTGTTGATAGCCAACGTCATTTTGAGGAAATTTATACGGCTTAAATGGCTAATGAAATGATAAATATTACATTCGAGTGAATCCTTGCTAACACAAAGAAAGATAAAAGCAAAAGTTTAAGTATGCACTGTCTTATTATCTCAAGTTCAATGAACATGTACTACCTACGTTTAATAAGAACAAACGGAAGAAAACTGCAAAGTAATCAAGAAAGTTCCTGAAGCTTCCAACCGCCGGTAATACTTCAGTCTTTCGGCTTTCTTTCATTTTTTTCCTAATACAATAGTCAATATTTAAATAGCAATAACATTTCATTATTAATTCAGCTCACGCTGAAAATTTGCATTGGATGTGACAATAAATTATGAGCCACAGCTAAAATCGAGACCTTGGTGCGCAACTTTTCGAAAGGATATCGCTTGATTCTGTTTATTTCCTTTCTTTAAAAATTAGCTTTTATGAAGTTAAACAGCAACTGCTACTAATTTGGAATATTTTCAAAATAATGACCAAGGCGTTTTTCCTTCTGAAATAATATGTGCTGTTTTTATGCCATAAATGAGAAAAGCGATGAAGTATTTGCCCACTTTCTTGACCAGATCTGAATACACTACCTACTCGACTAAAAATACGCAACGCATTGACCATAATGTGCTGCATAGACACAGAAAACCTGGCCATTAACAACGGATGAAAACAATGCAATTCTTGCATTCTTAACGTGAGTGTAAACATTTTTGGTTGGGGTTAATCACAGCCTAAATTGTAAACATTTTGGAGCACCCTCTACAGCAAAATAGACGAAACGCAGCTTAATCCGCAATAAAGTCGCATCTTGAGCTCTGAGTTTTCTATAGCTTAGTTCCTTTATTTTGTCAGACCTCAGAGTTCATACTCATTTTTGTTCTGAAGTATAAAATCTAGAGAGACGCATTAATTCAGGTGACTCCGCTCTAAACTTGCCTGCCATATGAAATTCTCCTGATAGTCTATTGTAAAATGATATACATGTACCGCTGACAATAGTTATCGGGCTCAAATTGTCCTCGATTTCTGGCTACGAAGGAATGACTTCCTTGTGTAACGACCTTTCGAAGTCTACTGCCACAATCTTACCATAAATGATGTAGAAGGATCAAGAAGTGATGAAGGAACACAGCTGTAAATTTTGAATCGTTTATCTGTTTGACTAAGTTCAACTTAAAAGGCGCAGATGGTAATCTAATCCCACGGTTAATTAATAATTCAGTTCACTCCGACGCGCAGAATTACGGATGTTACAAATCGCGTTCCGACCGGTCAAAAACTCACCGTTTACCGTTTGCATCGACATACTCAAAGCTATTCTATAACAGCAATAGCTGGCAATTTCTATCGGTTTGCGAAACGAAATGTAGAATAAGTGAAAAGTTATTAAGTCGATCACCGCCCTTACATCACGGTTCTCAAAGGTTTTTTGTTTGCGTGGGCTGTTGTGTAGTTAAGCGGACAGCCTGCCTTTTTTACTTCTTAGGCAAATTCGGCTTAAATTTATTCATTTACCGTCAGTGAAAACAGTTTTAAATTTATCATTTGACATATTTACACTTTTTTCTTAACAATCTACTATATTTTCCATTGTACAAATTGAGTCCAGTTCAGACGATTTTAAACATATACACCTGACACGCTCACTAATTAGTGGGTGTTTAGAGAGGAAAGTCTGACGACTCTATTTTTCTGTTTTATTTTCCCTTTGTTTTTTGGATCAAATTGTGGTACTTGAAAGTCGGAACAGTGTGGTGGCTTTTTTTAATTTAGGATTTCTTTTCATCAATTCATTTACGTCAGACTATAACTGGAAATGGCTTTTCAAACTAATTGAAAATAACATTTGATTGAAAGGACCGCCCTCCGGCCTTAGGAACAAACTCATTATTTTCAAACTTGTCATTGGGATCATTTATTCAAATGCATGCATGAAATGTTATTTCATTCTAGAGATGTTTTACTTTTTCTAAGTTTGATATAGGGCTAGGTGCATTGAAACTATATCGTTGAATTAAAAGATATATTTAAAAATATGTTGCAATCCCCGACACAGTGGAATGATTTTGATGTCAAGTCGGTAAACCCGTTAATAATAATAACCAGCAATTCTCCAGCCTTTGGAAAATATTTGAAAGCCAAGTTCACTGCACAATGATGACAGAGGGAGGAGTGGGTGAAATGGAAACCATAAGCGTCGGAAAGGCGACGAGTATTATTTCGTTTTCTGCTATTTTTGACAAAATATTCAAAAGTCATTGTTTTAGCTACAGGAGATGTATTTTGATATCAAAACGATTCGACCGGTGGGAGGCACTAGCGTTGGAGAGGAAAATACGTAGTTCTTATCACACTAGAATTTGCGTATGTTATGTTTTAGCCATATATATTTGGTACTTGAATGCAAAAACTGAGGAAGGTATTATCGTTAATTGTGATGATATAGGCATAATCATGAGTCCAATGCGAGGCTGTTTAATTTCTAAGTTGCATAACACCTGATTTCAGTGATTTCAAATCACTGTACCTGAATATGATGACCAAGACAGAATTTCTTCTTACAAGATCAATACAATTTCAAGCAGACAAGTCATGAGAATAAATAAAAGTATAAATTAAGGGATTACTAGCTGATCTAACAAGAAATTCTCTAAAGCAACATCATAAGAATTGAATGGCAGGCAGTAAGGAGAATTGCTTAATCAAGAGAGTCCTGTACTTCCTATAATTAATCCGTTTCGAGTTCACGGTTGATCATCAGTTTTTTAACTATGTTCTTAGCAACCAGCCTACTGGAAACTAACTTCAGAACTTAAACTTGGCCGTTTAGTCTTTCTGTGACAATTAATGAAATATTTCCACTCTCGAAGAAGAAGTCAGAGCGCAATCATTAGCTCAGCGGCCCACGTTTCTTCATCAAAAATTTTAAAATAGTTCTACTGTATCTTTATATCGTTGCACGTCATCTGGCGTTTGTAAGAGTGACACGAAAGACAATCCTTTTCCCAATCATTTGCAACAAATCTTTGGCGCCGATTTGTAACAGATTTTTGCCGCCACGAACCAACACGTTTTATCGGTCTAAAGCAGACGGACAGAACGTATTCATCGATATAAATTCAGTTGGACGAATTCAACTGAAGAACTTAATTATTTCGGTTTAGTTCGTCTCATGTGAAGTTCGACGTTTAAACAGGGGAAAACAGATCTTTACGATTATTTTTGGGATTACTTCTAATCGCCGTTATGAACTTCACCTGGTGAGCAAGATCATTGAAGGAATGGCCCAAAATAGAATTGCATGTTATGCAAAAGTTGGAAAATCCCACAAGAAATACGTGTTGACCTTCTGCTGTTAAAAGTCTGCTCTTTCCGGCGTTGTTTCTGTTATGTCAATTAAGAGATCATTTCAATTCAGCTTCAATTTTTCGTCAAGAAAATTTGGTCGAAGCAACGGGTTATCAAAGAAGCGTGTCTCCACCTCGCATTGTTATTGTTTTTTTCGGCTAAATTTGAGCTTAAAATAGGTGGTTCAGTAGATGTGCGTGTTTTTAGCGTCCACGTTCACTTTACGCGGAAGTGCCCTTAACAGATGGCGGGTGCGATAAAAATAAGCAGATGCAAGCCCATCGAGCACTACGGAAAATTTATTTCATATCGAGAGTGGGTTCAACTGCAGAGTGAGAGAATCCAAGCAAGTAGATAAGTAAACAACAATGTTTGATCAAGATCAAGCCTTCCTTTATTTACCTAAGGAGTCTGAAGTGTGCCGCGTCTGAAATTGCAGAACAGGAGGCTTAAGGAAGGTACGATTAAGTTGGATGAGATTTGTATAAAAGGCTAAGA